TATATATAGACTTGGGATCATATGAGACCAATGCTTTTTCGTGAGACCCGTAAGACCAATTCTTAACCCTTGGATTAGATCTATAATCTCAACATTCTTAATCACAAAATTTGCCACGAGAGTTCTCAAATAATTACAAAATTGTCACCGTGCAACTTTAAACCATTAGATCATTAGTTTATGAAGTTGATCAATGAACATAAATTGGTCTCACGGGTCTCACGAAAAACTCTTGGTCTCACGTGAACTCAACCCTATATATATATATATAGAGAGAGAGAGAGAGAGAAGGGGTAATCTTTTGCAAATCATAAATCATATGAAGGTTGCAATCGTTACAAACCCATCTAAACCATCAATTATTATGATCAACGATTGATATGAATTGGAGGAAACTTTCAATTTTAAATCAAGGAAAGCGTAGTTTTGGAAGAAATATTAAATATTATAAAAAAAATTAATATTTCTCCCCTTGAGCTATTTTGGAGAATTTTTTTTTTTAATATCTTTTTTGCATTTACATTTTCACGCATGTGTTTGACATTCTCGTAATAATGATGGTTAGTTTGCAACTAAAAACCAAGTATGATCGTTGAAAAAGTCGACACTCTCTCCAAATTTGGAGACGCGTTATAAATAATATTGAGAAGACATATATTATTTTAATTTTTTCTATCAATCTGTTATAATTTTTTATGAAGTTCTTTTTAAAAGTGTATTGGGATGATAAATTTGTAGAACATTTTAATGGTATAACTTATGTTTTTTTTCTGATTAACCTGGATATCCAACCCATTATGTGAGCCGACTAATCTCAAGCGACCACTTGCTTTGCAGATAGCCCGGAGTCACCGTATTTGAACCTCTGTGGCCACAAGGGGATTTTTATTCCTCCTCGGATTCAAACTTGGGACCTCCTGGTACTTTTGATTTTTGGAGTCAAGTTCAAACCAATCAGGCACCACCCTTGTGATTAGTATAATTAATGTTGAAATTGCTAAAATTGAAGTAGATGTTGAAGTTACATTTTTTTAAAGATCTTGATTTCAGATACTTTATTTTAGAAAAATTATAGCATAAACACTGAAGATGATCTTACAAGACCTTTAGCAAAATGAATTCATTCCCATCGCTTGTTCATATGAACTTTTTTATATTTCACCAAAACAAAAACAAGTACTTTCTCCGTTCCAAAGTAAATGTCAGCATACAGTTTTAGAAATTTGTAATTATCACACTCTATAATTAAGTAAATGACAATTTTATCCTTAATAATAGATGGAGTGATGGATTTCTCCATCTTAAAAATTTAGGGGTATAATGAGAAAGTAGACACTTATTTTTGGACAAACTAAAATAGAAATGGACACTTATTTTGAGGCAGAGGAAGTAATTTCTTTCCTATCACATTGTTCCGAGTTTTCTACCCTCTATCCTTGTTTTGTTTTTAAGTTATTCTTCGTCATTCGATGGATGTAGCTTCACGAAGCAAAACGAAGGCATGTGCACTAAAGGAATGCGATAATTACACTACTAAATATGTCAAGTGTGCTTTTGAAAGAACGTTTTCCGTTTTGTAGAAATGTTGTAAACAAGCTAAAGAACTAAATAATTGTCTTCTTAAGTAGTAAGTTCGTTCTTCAGATCTTTTACCCGTCTTTCTGTCTTTCTTTTATACTTCCCCGTTCCCAAAAATTGCAACGGTTATTTGAGCATATACTTTACAGAATTTATGGTTGATGAGAGTTATGTGTTCTATCTTCATTGTAGTGACTATGCGAACCGGTTATATGTATGTATATACTGATGAATTGAAGTGCTTTTGAGGATGCATTTGGTACATAGAACAAGAAAAGATAGAACAAAAAATTGTGTTACATTTTAGCAATATTAGACTGGGACATAACAGGACTTAATGGGATAAAAATGTATTATTATTTTTTTGTCCTACCAAAATAGGTGGAACAAAAATGAGGGAGATTAGACGAGATTGGTAAATTACTAAACTACACATGTGAAATTAAAACCCTTAAACTTTCCACACAATACTTTCATTTGTCTGCCTCACTTTCACCCATCTAGTCATAGCTAGTCCAGTTCCGTCGAGTCTTGTTGAGTCCTGTCTGTGTGCCAAAAGCACCCTAAACTCCATTTTGAATTTATTCATTGAAACGTATTTCAACAAGATTGGCATCGAGCATCTTTGGTCCAACTAATGTATGTTCTTGTGAAGCATCCCCTCCACAAAATCGGCAAAATTCAAGCTTTTTGGCCAATAGGTGTGCGATTCGTTTGATAAATTCTACCTCTCTATCTATCTATCTATCTATCTATCTCTAAGACGTTTGGACACCCACGAAGGAACTTATAGTTATGGTTGTTTTTCTTGCAGCACGAACTACTAAGTATTGGAAGAAATGAAGAAAGACTACACGCTTCAAGAAGATGCCAAGAGACCCGTTTGAGTCTAACCATATTATTGTTTGTTCTCGAGACATGTATGCTCGTTCTGTCCCATGAAATTTGCCGGCAACGTTCTAAATTCTGATTCTGAATTTTGTTGTTTGTCGACTGCTATTGCTATGATCTATATTATATAGAGATAAAAGAAGGGCGGACCTATTAATGGTGTCTCATGCACCCATTCAACTTATTTTCACAAGTAAAACTTTTTTTTAGGTATGAAAGGTGCACTCGCTAAACTTTGAATGAAACTATAGGATATTAGAAAATACAAAGAACATCAACATAAAAATCCCTTCAAAATCAACCAAAAAGTCCCTCAAGATCAACCTAAAGACCGAAAAAGTCCCTTGAAATCAACTAAAGAGCTTAAAATCCCTCAAAATCAACCAAAACACTTACAAATCCCTAAAAATGATGGAATTCGACTAAAAACACATTGGACGACTTTGTGGGCCTTTTATCCACCTTAAAGATACACTTGCTCGACGAAAACCCTGGAACTGTTATTGGATAAAAGTTTAGAATCTTTTGTAGATTTGGTGTTCTTGATGGTGTTTCACCAAAAAAAAGAATTCTTAACTTTTTTACAGCAACTTTTACAAAGACAGAATTTTACCAGATAAGTGAGAAAAAACTCTTACCAGGTAAAAGAATTACCAACAATGCCGAAAACCTCGACAAGCGCTTACCAGGTAGGTTTTCGGTAAATGGCTCCTACTTAAGTTCGAGCAAAATAAAACCAGCCATTAATACTCAAAACTTTTAGCAACTCAAAGTGTGACATGATTCTAATATAGTTCAAATGGTAAACACCTCATAAAGTCTAAATGTTACAAACCAAGAAAGATCCTTTTAATTGAATCTAATGCAAAAGGCTTACTTTACACATCTCCAAACAAAAACCACCCTTTTACCTACTGCAAGTGTAAGCTGAACAACATTAACAAAAACCTTAAGTCGGCTTTCTCATGTTACGACCTGCACGAATCACTTCATCCACAAGTAGCAGCTGCGATGCAATTACCGGCCTGTGAAAAATATCCAATTTCAGTCTCTATAAACAGAAAGCTTACTAACAAGAAAACAGTCGTTCAAATCTTTTTGTTGGCCCTGTGAACCAAAACTGTAGATCTGACTAGACAAGTAATAAACAAAACGAATATAAAATTTCATACCATATATTATTTCAAAAGTCACACAAATTATAAAAAAAATAGCTTAAAGTTACAAGGTAACATATAAAAATTCACTTAAATAGATCTAACATTCTTCGAAAGCTGGAATCAAGAATGCCAAACCAGCTAGAAGAATTTCCGCACCAACTCAAGATATGCTTAGTGGACTCTATGTCTTAACGAGTGGAAATCGTTGGGGTATTTGTGTAAATAGGTATAATCCATGTAATCGTAGAAATTATCAAAATGAAGATAATAACTATAAGTATACAAAAAAAAACCCTTTTTTGTGATACCTATGACGTAATTGGAGCTTATTGGCAGGCTAAAACATGTCTATAGGTTAAATCATACAAGTCAGGTAAAGGCTAAAACATGTATAATTGAGCCCAAAAATTTTTGAGAGCCCTGTTCTACATCACATATCGCACGGCCATAACAAGTGACCAACAAAGATTAGCCAACCAAAAGCACTCCCTCCCACAGGAAGATCATTCGTGAGATGATTGCATGGTACTACCTCTATGTTCACATTTTTATTTTAGTTTGTCCCAAAATAAATGTTCGCTTGAAATAAAGTAACTATGTCCCAATTCTACCTTCAATTATGAGATGGAAATTTTCATTACTCTACTATTAAGGGGTAAAATCGTCATTTAGTTAATTAAAAAGTGTATTAATTACACGTTTTTAAACTGTGCTTTTTTCATTGCGGACATTTATTTTTTAACAGAGGGAGTAGTATCAAGGTCTTTGCACACACATGACAAAATTTGTAGCTTTCTACATACCCAGAGTTTATGATTTGGCGCTTCACAGCATAGTTGTCAAAAATACCCTCCATCTGAGGATCAATTGGCTCCCCTGTGTGCTGATTTATCCCCACAATGTTACCCTTATCATGCTCTCCCTGATCAAATATTAGATTCAATGAGTCCAATATGTTGAAAGAGAAGAAAGATGTGAAGTGGGAGACTTGGGTATATAAGAATTACAGTCAATGAAATTATGACGTCTTGAGTGTCGAGTCCAGAGTTTTCAGCAAGTGTTTTGGGCACAACAAGAAGAGCATCGGCAAAAGCTTGAATACCGAGCTGAGCACGCTGTTCACAAATGTAAGCACAAAAAGGGTAAAAAAAACGCATAATATAAGAAGTGATCAAACCATAAAAATGTAAGGGAAATGAGTGTAACTTTACCCCTTTAACAGATTTTTTCACTTCGTTAATTAAGTGCTGTCGAGCAGCGACTTCAAAAGCCCCAGCACCCTAAGATGCATATTAAACTCATCAGCAGTAATATTAGGGTCCTTCCTAATTGAATTATCATAACTGCCCTTTATAACTCAACATAAAGTACAATTGAGAAATCCCAAATATGATGAATGATTCCCACGTATAAAGATCCAAGTTGTTTTTGGCATTTTTATCATGGTCCACAATTATAAGGTGAAACGCGAAATCAATACGTGATTGTGAGTCCAATTTGCTTGGTGTAAGGAGAACTAAAGATGATTCTCACAAAATGGAGAATCGAGAAAAATGATATTCACCAAATGGAATGAAAGTTTCTCAGAACGTAACCAATACCAAGGAAAGCAGTTTAAAGCATGTAACCAATGAAGAAAGTTAGAAAAAACAGGAATAGATGTACAGAAGACCGCCTAAACAATACTCCCTCGGTACCTAAATAAGTGGCCACATTTCTATTTTAGTTCGTAGCAGAATACAAGTGTCCACTTTCAAAAGTGTGTACTTTTCAATTCTACCTTTAATTCTGAGATGGAGAAATTCATTACTCATTCTAGGGCAAAATTGTCATTTAGTTAATTAAAAAGTGTAATAATTAACCATTTCTAAAATTAGGTGTCTTTTCATTGTGGTCATCTATTTTGGACAGAGGGGGTAATCTCATCCAGCTTGCAACCTCATTTAGCCTCAGGTATGGTGTGCACATAACAACCTAAATAAACATGTATTAATGTTCAAGATGCTCACAGAATTGAAGAAAACTTACTAATACAACTGCTTCATCTTCAATAGTATTTTTGACAGATCGCAAGCCATCTCTAACGGCATCCTTGATTTGGGCAATCGTGTGATCATTAGGTCCTTCAGTATCACAAGTAGTAACAGTTAAGTGCCATTATAGATGACACAAAAACGTAATTAAACCAACACAGAACCAAGCAACGAGCCCGCTTGCAATTGAACATAAACTTTTCAGCATAACAGAACCATGAAAAACTATTAAAATACCTTTAATTAAAATTGTACACGAGTGAGGATGCTTTACTTCTTCAACAAAGGTATATTTCTCTTCTCCAAGGACATGCTCATAGACCAGTCCAGCCCATCCAAGGCAATCAGGAGTTAAGTCATCCACAGAGTTGACAGCCTCCCCACCACATGCCAAAACCAAGCGCTCCATATTTCTCCTCTTGGCTCTTCGAAGAGCAACTATCTGAGAAACTTCCAAGTCAGCAAGTTGAAAAGACCAGAAATAAACTAGATGTTAGCATAATTTATCTACAAAAAGATCATTTGAAATGCTTCCCTAGGATCATGCATTTACCCATTTCAAGCAAGCTTGAAAGGAATGCAAACAGAGAATTGACATCCATATTAGTACTTTATAGCAAATAAAATGTTGCCACTGAAAATGTAATAAGCATGTATTATTTGAAACATCAAGTTAGTTTTGCGAGTGATAATCTGGTGTAAAATCAATAGGAGGTTGCATATCCGACTTTGTAATTCTGCAGAATAATGTTTCCCTAGAAAGAATGTCCCTTCCCCTTCCCTCCTTTCCTTCTACTTCTTTTATATCAATTTTCACTGCAGTCATACAACTCTACTCATCTCAATAATATACAAAACGAGCTTCCTGTTCAATTGTTCACTTTGACATTTTACGTATTCCAACCAAGGCATTTAGGTGCAGCTTCAGGAGGCCTTTCTCCATCAGCTAACACATGCACAGCTAGCATGGCTGACATCCCAAAAGGCACCATTCAAACAAACAACAAGGGAGGTGAAGTGTCCACTCACACATATGATGTATGAGAATAATGGAACCCTATTAGCTAACAGCAGAGGATTATGAAATTAGAATAAAATGCCAGTTTTATACCACAATAGTTTAGAGGGAAAAATTGGAATCCCCTGGTAAACATAAACATCAGATCAGACATGTTTTAGAATCAAAATTTAGACAAGCACTACATTTCTTTCTTGAGGTAGAGGTGCAGAAAATAAAGTGTAACTACCATGGTCTCTCCTACCAGTCAACCAAAATATAAGTCAACTCTTAACAAGAATCGAAAATCTAGCATGACAATAAACTGCATGTAATTTATGTTTGTAATAGAATAACAAACAAAGGTTGTATGATCCATGAAAATGTTCAAGTGAATGTCTTTCACACGACATACAATGCCAAAAGCTACTTATTTTTGCTCTAAAAGTAGATGTGATCTGATTAACCAGCAGCAGTCACATGAAAATGTTAAGCCTTCATAACCCAAAAAAAAAAATCTAGCAGTCATAAAGCTGCATAACATACAAAAAAATGGCAGGCTTCCCATATGTACAGAAATTGTGTTTCAGTATGATCAAGAAGCAACTTACCCCTGCCCTAGCAAGAAGATCCAATGATGGAGGATCAATTCCTTTCTGATTAATAACAACAAAGTTATTATCAGTTCCATTGCACACCTGCACGCCACCCAAAACAGTATTTAAATATCGTAGTTATGGAAATAAAAACTTTCAACATCCACTAAAACCTAGGTTGAATACCTTATTTTTTAGCTCGATTATTTTTCGCACTCTCTCATCAACTGAACGCCTCTCTGCAACTACCATTGCTTCTCTTTGTTCGGCGTTCGAATAAAAGAATCCAGCATTAATTTCACTGAAAGAACAGAATAACTTATTATTGACATAATTTGAATCCCAAAAAGGCAATCAAATAAACCTACGAGCTAAACATTACTCAATCACTTGACAAGAGATAGGTCCACATATTTACTTTGAAGTTTTATCTTACTGTGGCTCGCATGAAAGAGCTTACCTTTTCTCATACTCCAATGATACATTGCATGTCAAAATGTAGCAATTTTCTGCTCTCCTTTTCATATCTGGATGCCTGGACCCATGGTCAAGGACAAGGCCCTCTACCTATAAAACATGTGAAATCTTAACAAATTAAAATAGAAAAAAGCAACCACCCTGCCCCAACCTAATTTCTAGCTTCAACCATTATTAGTGAGTAACTAACATTCTAACATACCAGACGAGTGTCTACATCAAACTTCTGGCGCATGTGCATAATCTCGACCATAAAAAGATCAATTGGTTCTTCTGGCTTGCGGATGCAGAGTACCTAAGCATAAATGATTTAGATCCTGTCAGCTGGAAGTTAATGTAGAATGCTGGTTACAAAAATTTAAGCAGAAGTTGCAGATCAACCCAGACATAACAGCTTTATCAGAATAGTAGAACATATCTAAAAAGCTTACCGCATTTACAACTATGTCAGTCAACTGATCTGCCAATGCTTCATACAACTGCAAAACCATTACAAGCAATAACAATGATATATGAACATCAGTATGCATTCATTATAAAGACACCTGCATGTACTAAAACAAGGAAGAACTTGACTAAAAGAAAAAGGAAGAAGTACAGCAACTCAAATACCTTTGTTCTTAATGTCGTCCTTGCAACCATCTTCAGCATTTCTTTGTCAGGCTCTTCGCCCATCACCACAGGAGTTTTGAAATTTTCCAGAAATTGCAGTGTTGCCTTTTTGGCAATTTCAAAACCATCAACCAAAACACGTGGATGCATCCCTTCATTAACAGAATGTAAACGTAATCATATTATTCGATTACATAAATACTCAGATAAGAAAAGTAACTATGAAGATGCTAATGAACTTGAGAGATCTGAAAGATACATTCATAAGTAAAAAAAATAGACAGCTTTACTGATTGATAAACAGCTTTTGACACAAAATATAATATTTGCAGATAATTTTCCCAAATATCTTCATTGAGTAATAAATTCAAGATGAAAACTGAATAAAGCAGAAAGATATGTTCATTGACAGAACCAGCATGGGCTATATAAAAAATATGCTAGAAAAAAAAAAGACAAAACAATAAAAAAAAATTCACAAGATAGTGAGCCATTTCAGAGGAGGCCTAGGGTCACCAAATGCTCACTCACAATGCCACACCCAACGTAAGTAGATGATATTGGGAAAAGAATATAAAGCAAAGCCATGTCATGCTTTTCAAAGAAGATTAGTTGACCAAGGATCAACATGAAGTCCCCTGACACAAATCTTGGAGTATAACAAAACATGATCGTAATACCATTTGAGTACATGTCCTTGAAAGTAATCATATAAAACTGAATAACAAGTCGGAAACAAATATTAGAAGAGTGACAAACCTTCATCAATATAGCGGTCAGACTGTTTCATAAGCTCGCCAATAAAGATGACCGTAGATGTTGTCCCATCTCCACTTATATCATCTTGTGCAACAGCTGTCCTTGCAATCATAATTGCAGTCGGATTTTGAATTTGCTGAAAGCATATTAAATTTGATCACTATGAAACTTGGCAATACTCTAACTGGATTTTAAAAGATGACAAAGAAAATAAACTGTGATAAAGATGTGATATCATTATTACAACAGCAGGCTGGGTTAGTTAGTGGTGGTTAACATTTAATTTCCAAAGAATTCCCATATCCGACATTGTATAATTTCTCCCACATCCAGGCAAACTCACTAAGCAGACTAACTATAACACCAAAAGCACAGACACACACACACACACACAAACATAAGCATCAATCAGTAATCCAACATTTCCAAGTACTGTAGGCATGAAAACTCAAATCCATAAGGCTCCTTTAATTGCATGTGTAAAGACTAAAACTACTACCAGATGAGAACTCGTCTACATAAAAAGAAGTTAACACTTTGTAATGTAATGATGACCCTAATTTATGCTTCCTGCCTTTTAAGTGGATAAAAGTAAACCAAAATCATCATAAACTACATTCATGACAACTTTAATGTTAAAAAAAGCGGTAGCAGATACAACTTGTTGAAGTGGACATGTGCACCTTCTCCTTTTCTTTAAAAAGGATAAGTGGTGAACTGCCCTTGAAAGAGCTCATCATCCTATTACCGTTGCATGCATCAGTGAGAATATTCATCTTGCGCAAGAATGAGGTAGTAAGAAGACCCAGGGTAGGGTAAAATAACAAAGATATAACTAGAAATAATGAATTGGCCAATTAAAAAATTGTCTGGTACACTCATCATGACTGCCAATAAGAGAGGGTTTGCCTATATCGGTCCGTATTCTCCAAGACTTAAGCATGTAAGCCTAATGAAAAATATTTATATGCATCTTTTCCGTTATACCAACTCCAATGCAGAAAATAACTGTGCTTTAAATTTGATCCTAAAACACTTCATTTTAAATGGAAAGCTGATAGGAATCATGTTACAAGTTTAGAAGCATCATCTTGGACTTGTAGCAATTGTCATGAACTTTGACGTTTTCCCCCTTTTAAATTCACATCATTTCAAAGCCAAAGTATTACCATTTGACATTCAAAGTCGAAATGTGTATCCTTTTCCAAAAAAAACAACCACTTAGTAAAGTGTTGCCATCCTTCGTTAATTTAATATTAAAGGAAGAATACTATTCCGGTTCAGGAAATGCACGGACATGAATAGTCCCAACGACACGCACATAACTCGAATTATTTAAGAGCGCCGATAACTAACCATCTCTTTCAGTAAAGTGTTGCCATCCTTCGTTAATTTAATATCCCCAGCTCCACCAACAAGCCTGTGAAAAATTAGCAAAACAATAATAATTTGAACAAAATAAAAACAATATGACAGCCATGATATTATGGAAGATGGAAACAAGAATCTAACATCTTAATGGTGCCTTTAGGGCCGAGGTTGCTCTTGAGAACATCTTGTAAACCCTTGGCGGCATTGATGTTCATATGAAGTGCAGCCGATTTGTTCAACACTTCGGCATTAGGGTTCAGAACTCGTACAGACATCTTCCTTTCTGAGATTTCGCGAACCAAAAACTTGCAAATTGTAAATTCAAATCAAATTAAATCTAAGATAAAAAAAAGGGCATCGCGCAGATTACCTGCGATGAGTTAGACTGAAAGTATATCTTCTAGGTTTACACGCGTGCACCAAGACGCTTAGACGGCGGCAAAGATCGGCGCAGAGAAGGGCGGAAGCGCGACGGAGAGCGTGTAGTTCTCTTCTGAAGTCGAGTAGGCGGGGGTTTAGGGCCTTCCGGAGAACAAATGGATTTTTCCAAAATAACCTTTAGAGTAAATTACAAAAATAGTCCCTAGACTATTCATTGAGGGGTAATTCTAGCTACTTTAGGTCTCAAATTTACATTTTTAGTCCAAAAACAAAAGTAACCATGACACATTATTGAAAGTGTTAATTTCCAAACATATGAGCAGAAGCTTATAAATTTGAGTATATCTTATTCTAACACAAAATTAAAAATATATACTATATTATAAAGTATTTGACAAAAACTCTTAAAAACCATTTTTTATGCATGAAGTACTGTTTATTGATGCATATTACTTAAAATTTAAGATTACAAGTAATTTTGCGTAAGTACAMCTTATTAAAGCTCAATTTTTAAATTTGTGTAACTAACTGCTGATAAACATAATCAAATACAGAATAAATATTCATTTTAAATATAAAAAATCTAAAATATAATTAAGATAATTATTGAATTCTAACAAAATGTTTAAGTATTATCTTTATAAAAAAATATTATTAAACCAAAAATAAATTATTTTGTTATTAAATCTAAATTAAATTATAATAAAAAATTGAATTAAAGAAGTTACACAAAAAATATGAGAACTATTAAATAGTTAATTTGATACTATTATCGATTTAATTTTTTTTCAAATTTTTATGCTATCATCAAATTTATATTTTAATTCAAAAATAAAAACATTACCGCTTTCTCAAAATCACATAAAATCGTATTATATCGATAGAGACAAAGAAAAACAAAACATTAAAATCGAGATTGATCTCGCTGCATTACGCGACTATCCTTCTAGTTTATATAAAAAGAAAACATGTTAGATAAGTTGAATGGTTAAAATGTCGTTTAATTGAGAGATGTATAAAAAGCCGGAAGCACAACTCAAAAAAAAAACTTGGGCCTAATACGCCCAAGCTTATGCCAAGCATAAAGCCCGATAAACCGGTTTTTATTAGAAACCCGAAAAATCCTTACCTGAGAAAGCTCGACTAGACTGATTTTCACACCTCATTTAGTCTTAAAAAATCCCGACCTTTCTTTGGTTACATAAAGCTCGACTAGACTGATTTTCACACCTCATCTAGTCTTAATTGATCGGGTCGGGCCGGTTTGGCGATCACTACAGTCCCCTACTTCCTAGCCAATTAAGGCCCGTTGTGAAGAAAAAGGGGATTCAATTATGGGACTTGTTAAGGTATCTACTGATTTGAAGCCCAAATACATAAATACCTTATAAAGTGTAAATAGGGCAGCAAGCACACTGCTATCCATAAAGTTACCCAATAACAAGGGATCAATATGCAACCAATAAGTTAAGAGAATAGGAATGGCAACGGGCCGGTTCGGGCCGAGTATTGGTATCTCTGTTCCCGAAACCGATAGCTAAAACCGTCTTCGTAACCGCCTCGTTCCCCATCGAGGATCTTATCGGGGATCCCCATCGGGTCCCCACGGTTTCCCAATCCCCATTGGGGAACCCGTTAAGGGTAAAAATCCTTTTTTTCACCGTTGCTTATAACCGAACCCGAAACCCGAACTCGATCTGAAAGTAGATTACAGTTAAAAGTAAATTACATTTTTTTTAAATGTAAATTTAAATGTCTCAAACATAATCGAACAATTACAAACAATGTATTAGATTACAATATAAAACTAAACAAAAATTCAAATATCATACAACTAAAATCACGATTTTTAAACAAATAAACTAGACTTTTTTGTGAGCTTTATTTGGGTTGTTGAGTAAAAGTGGATAGAAGTCTTTTAAATTTTAATGTTATTATTTTCTTTTAATGATATTATATATATATATATATATATATATATGTATATAAATTAAAATTAATATATATATATATATATATCGGGCCGGGCCGGTGATCACCATCCCCGTTAAAATCCTCGAATTTGTCCCCGATACCCCCCGTCCCCGGACCCGGCCCGAAAGTTTCGATTTTTGGTTTTCGGTTTTCACCATCGGTTTCGGGCTTTTTTTTTGCCATCCCTATAAGGGGACCTAAAAATTGTGTTAAGAAAATTTATAGTTACTATGTTGGTAAGATTTTTTTTTAAAATATATTTTATAAGGTCCAATTTCGAGTTAATTCGAAACCAAAAATTTATTTAGGGGCTAACTGTAATTTATTGTAATTAAGATTTAAGTTTAAGATGACAAATAATATGAGAATAAAACATTAAGGGTGCGTTTGGTAAGTGAGGAAGAACGGAACATGTCAAAACAAAAACTTGTTGTCCTCATGTTTGGACATTATACTGCTATCGGGCCGGAAGTAGGTGGATTACTAAACTACATATGTTAAATTAAAACTTTAAAAGCTTCCACAACTCGTTCACCCGCCTACCTGACCCTTGCGGTTGTAACACCCTCAAATCTGTAAAGAGTGACTAATTTGAATTTTTCAATAGTACATCAAAGAAGGAATAAATACTTTTATGAATGTCAACAATTGATTATCTATAACGAAAATCTAGGATTTAACATCAACAAATAATAATTCAAACCTTACACAAAGTCTCTATTAGGGACAGTGTTACTAAACCCAACAACAGTCGTTATCTCCAAATGTGAGACGTCATCAAATAGCTAAAAAAAATTTGCTTTGCATAGTGATGTTCATGTCATTCCCCAACAGGGACTTGATGCACATGCTGACAAGGAAAAAGGGTTATCCAACAATTTTCACCATAATAATAGATCGATAAAATTGAAAGGCTAATTATTTAAAGAAAAATTGGCTCAAATGATCATTTCACACATCCAAATTGGTCTCCTAATCATTTCTCTCCCGGGTTAACCCAAATGTCACTAGTTTTGCAATATTCAGATATGCAATAAAAGGCACAAAAAATCAAATTCAACCAGTTACCATCGCAATTGCCGACCTACCCATCACAATTGCATAGTTGTGTTGAATTTGAATTTTTCTTTTTCTTTTTTGTCTTTAGCTAGGTCTATAGTATTGCAGACCTAAATATTGCGGAAGTAGTGACATTTGGGTTAACCCCGAAGAAAAATGGTTAGAAGACCAATTTGGATGTGTGAAATGGTCATTTGAGTCAATGACTCTTATATAAAACATAATTTCTCAAATGAAAAGTCTTCAATATAAAAGCAACATGTTTTCCAAAGTACATCATTTTCGTGATGAAAACTCGGTGACCAAAGCACTCATTTATCATGAAACCAAAACTCAATACTCACCCGAAACGTGAATAAAGATTAATATTAAAATATTGAAATTATGGATAAAATTCTATTTACCGGAACATCTAAAATATGGATAAGATTCAATAAACCAAAACCATAAATCTCAAAAACCTCCATACACATAACGTCTTCGAAAAACATGGATAAAACTTAATACCCAAAACAACACGGAAAACATGGATAAACTCTATCCAAAACAACACCTTTCGGTGACGGGGGAGACTCATATCCATCGATCGTGGCGAAACACAAAGTAAACCATATATCAAAGTTTATGAGCTCGTATACGGATCAATGGTCATCAAGTTCAACCATTCACGGTCTAACTTCGGTCCCATAGCTTTCACATTACAAGACAGAGACAGTTGATCAAGATCGCAAGTTCACAAGATCACATCTTATCAACACTTCAAAAGCTTGTGCACATCTCATATCCGATTTCATCTTCATGTGGTGTTGAAGTGGAGAAAACAAATAATCCAATCAACAACACAGAAAGAACGGTCATACATTCCAATGTTGGTGGGAAGCAAGGTCAAGTCATACATTCCAATGTTGAGGGGAGCAAGGTCAACTCATTCGACCAGCCAGTGAGGGGAAACATTCAAAGATAAACAAAGAAAAGATCAATGACATTTGAAGAACCGGTTGAGGATAGAAGACAAAGAAAAGAAGTCATAAGAATAAAACAATCATTTGACCGTCTTCATCTACAACCTCCGAAGTTTAGCTATAACTTTATATAAACTCACGCTCTGCTAAACTCATGTTTAATAAATTATTTACATATTGTTTGTTTAGTTAAGTTATGCATTTTGTATTCCCTTGTACATTGCATTGTAATCTGATTAAAAAGAAAAAAAAAAGGATAAAAGAAAACAAAACAAAAAGAGTAAAAGCCTTAGAAAGAGAAAAGAGCACAAACATAAGGCAAAAGAATCCAAAAGGGATCATTGTACTTATGAGTTCATAATTCTATTTTCACTTATAAGTTTCAGCACCAATTTTTCTAAGTGTTTTGTTAACAGTTGTCTATTTGTATTATTAACAAATAGGGGGAGATTGTTTGTCTCAACCATCTGATTTGTATATAATACACATAAACATCAAACTAAGCACCTAGAAAGAAAAATTATTGTTTACCTTGACTTACACGGTACATATCTGATATATTTTACTCATCGGATATTATTTTACCTATCATTCGATCCTGTTGTTTAAAGGATTCAGATATAGCTCTTATTGGATATATCAAAAACAATTGAGTATAACTAAATGCATATGGTTTATCTTAATCTGATTGATTGTTATGTCAGTAAAGGATAACAGTCTCATTATACTCATAGCATATCTGATGTAACTACTTTACAAGATAATGTAGCTAGTAAGTGTAATGTATAGCTTATATATTGGACATAGTTAAAGGTAAGATTTTTACCTGTAAAGTCTTGTAACTATATGTATTTATCCAAGAGTAAAATGCCTTGAACAAAATCGAAGACTAGTTAAAGTAAGGTCAAGATCGTCACCAAAGCGGATTGGTTTGTCATTTAGCCGAAAGAAGATTAGTACAAGATAACAATTCAACTAGTAGTCTGACAAATACTACTACTGACAAGCCAAATCTTGAAGTACAGACTTGGTCAGCAAGTTTGACTCACCAACTCACTTGCTTGCTTATTTGGTATGAGAACATGTATAACGTGTCAGCCTAAACAAATCCAAAAGCACCATGTGATTGGCACTTTGCTCGCTTTATGTTCCCTCGACATACTAAAGGAGGATAGTAAGTTAAAATTACGTGTACATCAAACTCAAATGTTGAAATGAATAATACTAGATTACATGGATCAACCAAATAAAGAAGACATACATAAAAGTTGGACATAATGCATTTGATGCAATGATGGCTATAAAAGGTCACTGTTGCATACAACATAACTCAGAGTCATCTTCTAGAGAATTTCATTGGTTTTTGAATCTGAAAGAGAACCTCCTCCCTCCTCTTTCAGTTTAGCAAATTTTGTGACAATCAAATGGTTTAGGATCATATGTTTTGACTTCTTAGTTTTTGCAACATATCTATAATTCTATATTTTATATAAATTATAGAGCAAAAAGTTAAAAAGTGAAAATATGTTGTGTTTGTATTCACCCGCCTTTTTATAAACACTTCATGTGAAAGTCATCACTTCCTAGTACCAACGATATATATATATATATATATATATATATATATATATATATATATATATATATATATATATATATATATATAATACGAGAAGAAAATCAAAAGAACCCTTCTAGATTATACAGCGATGCAACCCACCTATCCACCATCCTTTTTTTTTTTGAATTAAGGGTAGTTACAATCAATCAGATGGTAACCGTTGATGATCAATGGATGTTCTTGATTTGGTTGTAAGGGTTGTAGGGATGTAAAATGTTACATAATAACCGACCTCTATATATATTATATCTATTTTAATCAAACTTTGTATGGCAATGTACCTTCTCTCTCTCTCTCTCTCAAGTCTCAATTATGTATGCGTGTGCGTCTCTTTCTCTACTGTATATATATATATATATATATATATATATTTGTATGTGTGTGTAGGTTGAAAGGTTCATTTGAGAAGTGGTAAGTACTTAAGAAGTAAACAAGTGATCATAACTCTTCATTTGGTCAATATTTGCGGCTTCGACAGTGAACTAGATGATTTTTACAACTATTAATTCCTTGCATAGGTATGCGGAAGATAGAGGGTAGTTTTATGACTTTTATAAATACCTAGCAAACAAGTTCATATGTGGACCTGCGTGATTCACATATGAACTATATGTTTATATGTAAACCCGTTAAGTAGTTCACATGTGAGCTATTCAACTGATTCACATATGAACCCACGAGTTAATATGCGAATCATTTAATTAATTCATACGTGAATCAAAATCACAAGATAATAAAGAGTAAGGATGACAATCAAATGATCACTAGATGACGAAAATGAGATGGGCTTCTATGGTTTTGACTTATCGTTTCTAGATGAAAAATTTAATTAGATTTAAGGTTTTATTTTAGTAAATATTATAATTATAAATATAAAAGATTAGCAAAAAAATCATATACATAGTTGTTCAAGTTTTGTACGGGTTCGGAACGTTGATCTTGAGATCCTAATTGAACCCGCTATAAAACTCGGGTTTCAGACCTTAGATAGTTCGGGTAATATGGGTCGGGTAATGTCGAGTTTTTTCGGTTGGACTTTTTGATTTTCTTGGATTGGATCGGGTTCTGCACAACCCTACTAAACACCGCTTATTCTTTTGGAATTTGATAGTGGGCTTGGCCTGTTGTTTGCTCCTCCTTTCAAAAGTAAGCTCTTCCACAAAATCAAATATTTTCGATACACCGAATCTGATAGAATTCTCACTAATTTATCACTGGTTGGCGAAACACAAATTGAAAGACACATTTCTGACGTCATTTCTGTTGGTGTTATTCTGTTTTAGTTTGGGATTGTTTATTTAAACAACTTAATTTTTTTTTTGTAAAAATATGTATCAACTTATGTGGTGTTAAACTTAAAGTTTTATAAAAAATGTTTGTATCATGTTACGGTGGTACCAAGTGGGTGTTTAAGATTGTTTGTAAAAACAACTTATTGACTTATTTCGATATGACACTGATAATAAGTATTTTTGAGTGTTTAGATAAATAATACCAAATCGATAATAAAAAGTTTTTGAAGAAATTAAAGCTAGTTGACCCGTGTTTTTATAGAAAATGTTGTTTCAAATAAGCAAATCCCAAACACCGAACATAATAAGTTTGATAGTTTTTTTTTTCATCGTCGCCAAAAACAGGGACCAAGGGTTTGATCGTCGGCCAGGTTTCAGTTGGAGGTCGATTCGATTTTGCAGGTGGAGGTCAATCTCGATTTTGCAGGTGAAGATCGATTTCAATGGTCGCTCGATTTTCAAAGTTGAGTCTAAGTTAGAAAGTTCCCCATCCAAACACTAAAAACTGCTTATTAGCAATGGAGAAAGCTCGACCGCTATTGATTTTATATGCTACTGAAACCGGCAACGCTTTAGACGCAGCAGAACGATTAGGTCGCGAAGCTGAAAGAAGGGGTTGCCCTGTTCGTTTATTTTCTCTCGACGAATTTCACCCTGTAAGTCTTTATGCAATTACACAACCGTATTTTTCAAAATTGGTACTTCTGCTTAGAATTATTTAGTTCATGTAGTTTGTTTTTAAGGAATTTAAGAAATTTGACAAGTTGCATGACAAAGTGCAATTTCTTGAAACCGTAAAAATTAAAAAAAAATGCAATCTTTTTATGTGGACGGAAGGAGTACAAGAATAGGACTTTGTTGCAATCATGTAGCTTGGGAATCTTGTTGGCCTGTGTTATGCGTTTTTTCTTTGTTGCCGAGTGTGTTAATGCATTTAGTTAGTCTACACAAGCATGAACATGATTAAGTGACAAATTTATATGGTAACACCGACTATTATAATTTGATGCACACATACATGGCTGATTCAAAAGCATCATGCATTATGCTTGTTCTAGTTTCGGCCATCGTTTGATGTTTGTGACTATTGTAATTTTCTAGAACGAACAGATTTTAATGTGATGGTTCATTGGGACTTGGTGCTCGGTGTCTCTTGAAGCATCAGGTTTCTAGTTTGAATCCCACCAGGTGTTATCAACTTCTTAAGGGCCTACCTCTGCTGGCTCAAAGTCATAAAGTTTGCTTGGGGACTTGGGCTATGTGGAAGGGGGGGGGGAGGTGCATGAATCGACCCCATGGACTAGTTGCGTCATTTTTTTCATCGGGTCCGGGTAGAGACCAAAGATCTTGAGTGAAGGTGTCTGATATACCTCGACTATATCAGAAAGTCTATGTCGAACGAATATTACTTTCCCCTTCAAGTTCATTATGCTTTTAGACTTTAAGGTAATGAGTTTTTTTACTAAAGAAATGACACTATTTCCAGAGTGGGATTCTTTAAAGTTGTGCGACTATTATCTTAGCAATTTAAAAAAAAGATCTTGTGTAAGACAAGTATCTTATTTCCTAAAGGTGGACTTAGATTTTTCCGTTACCAAGTGATTGGTCTAGTTTGAAAGGCAAGTTTGGGTATGAATTTCACCTGGGTGATTTCTCCATCAGCTCTTGTGGGTTACAATTCAGGGCGAGTATACTTTTGAGGAAACAATTCCAATATGCTATTTTATTTTGCAATGTAAAGAATTGTATATTGTCACTAAACTTATTTCTTCTTCTATTCAGATCTGAATAGTAAAGACCTCTGTGTTTTTTTATACTCATGGGTTTGTACATTTTATTACAAACACCTAAATTGTAATTATTTGTTTTCTCCTTTTCACATATTTTAATCAATGAGTTATGTGTTTCTGCTATGCATACTGCTTGTGGATTACGTCAGAGCTCCTTACCTAGTGAAGAATTTGTAATTTTTGTAGTCTCCACGACTGGACAAGGGGATACCCCGAACTCCATGAAGGTTGGTTATTGTTACTGCTTTGAGTTTCAAAGGTTGCTTTCCTTAGTGTTTCTTCATTTTAATTTCTGATAACCCATGTTTAGGCGTTTTGGACGTTTCTTTTGCAAAGAAGTTTAAGCCGACAATGGCTCGATAAAACACACTACGCGGTGTTTGGATTGGGGGATTCAGGTTACCAGAAATACAATGTAAGTTGATTAAGTTACAATATATGTGATTTTTAAGATAACTTCCTGCTTCACTATCTTATCAATACCCTGACTTCCTGTACATCATATATATGCTCCATTCTACCATAAAACTGATGGGATGATTTACTTATCACTTTGGATTTCATACTCTTGTAAATTATATGTCGGTTAGAATGCATTATCTTTATTTTTGTTTATTAGAACGTTATATATATTGGAACATCACCTAATCTTTCTATTTGGTTTGTTTCCTATTTTTTGGTTGTATTTGGTGTCTATTATTATATGTAAGATTTTAGATATTCAACTTCTTGAAATATATTAGTAATTTAGTACTAGTAAATTATATATGTTTTTTTTTTTCTGAACTTTCAGGTGATTGTGGTATTACTATTACAATTGTGCAAAAAGTTACGTGTGTTACTTTGTTTCAGTTTGTAGCAAAGAAGCTTGACAAACGACTTGCAGATCTTGGGGGTAAAACAATCATAGAAAGAGGTCTGGGAGACGATCAACATCCTTCAGGGTATCTTTCTGTTACTTCCGATTTGTGTACAAGTTTGTTGCATAATCTATCAGTTTTATCTATAATAGGTAAGATTGCCATATGTGTTACCACTGTTTTGAAACTTGCGCAAAAAGAAACCAAGAACTGGCAAGTGATGAAATATGAATATTGTTTAACTTTATGTTCTTTGTCTTTGCAACGCCTGTCAACTGGCCAGCAATTTTATGTTAATTGTCTTTGAAATGCTTGCCAACTGCCCAGTGGCATAGTCTTTTGTCATATCATAGGTACAACATGGTTTTTTAAGTGTCTAAGTCAATGCCATGCAAAGGAATTCATCACAATAAGAGGTTGAGGAAATGCACTTATTTTCGACACAGGTGTGCTTTCTTATTCATTATTTTCCTTAAAATGGTCAACAAGTTGCTAAACTGATGGCGAAAGGAGACTTGAGCTTAAGGTTGTGAAGATCCAAATTAATACCACTAGGCCAAAGGCCTTATTTTGTTATCGTACCAAACCTAGTGCACTGGATCAGAATTCCATAATTAAGAGTGCTTGAGTGAGAGTATTGATAGGATAGTTATGGATGATCCCTGAGAAGTTCTCATGTTGCAACCCTTCTTAAAAATTCAGTTTTGCCCAATGTGCTCCAACAGCAATTTTTGAATTAGTTTTATTTTACTCACTTGACACTTCTTATGGTAAGTAGAGTTTGAGAAGTCTTGTTTTAAGCCAAACTTCTTTGGCAGTGTACATGTATATGACTACTAAAGGTTAACATTCTCTTTATATTGTGGCGCCTCCCCAAAGTGTCATGCTGTATTGCTCAAGGGCTACGTTAGACATACTGTATATTGAATATTGTCGAGAATTAAGAAGATAAAATTGTATTTCAATCTAAATATAATACAGCATCGACAATATATACAACTATGACATCCAAGAATGCAAAGTATTTTCTGATCCCGTGAATTATGGGATGCTCAAACAAAATGTAAACTCCGCTATATAGGCCTAATTTTAAGGGATCTAAATTAATTTCTAACATCTTGTTTTCCTACATTCACCCTCAAGATGGTGAATAGATATGCTCCGTGAAAAATCATCTCATTTGACTTTGTTGCTGCTGTTCGCTGCTTGCTAGGCGAGCCACTACTCACGTTTAAAGTCACACGTTCCAAGTGACTTGTTCAGGGCTTCATGTGACTTATGTCAAGTCACATCTGAAGTCGCATGGACAACTCTTAATACATTGCAAACAACTTGTTAGGTGACTTGCACCTAGTCGCGTGCTTCTAAAGAACTGGGCGACTTGTTAGGTGACTTGCACTAAGCTGCATAGTGCATCCAAAGTCGCCTGTGTCCAAAAGTGGGACCAGGCAAGATCTCAGGCAAATCCAAGTCGCCTTCGAAGTCGAATACGAGCACCAATTTGGTAAATTAGGCATTAGGTCTAAATATTTGAGATGTTGGATATTTGAAGGTTTATTCATTCAACTTGTATTGAGGGAAAACACATTTTGAGCACTTCTTTGAGTGTTCCAATTTGCAACTTATTGCTCATTTGTTTCGTATTTCTCTCGTTTGTAGCCTCATTTGATTTGTGATATACAATTGGCCTCCTCTGTTTGTGGACATACATTATCACAGCAACAGTGGAACCACACAAGTGTTCGTGTTGCTATTTGCTTTGATTACCACTTTCATGTTATTGTGTATGATTATTTGTTTATTGGCCGTTTTATCGAACTAGTGTACCCGATCTAATTTGTTCCGCATTCGGTTATTGGGATTGGGTTACGTTTATCTAGTGTTGGGACCGTGGCATTTGGTAAATATTCCCAACAAGTAGACTGTTAGCATGCATTGTGGTATGGAGTCCTATTTTTTTCTTAAAAAATCCCATTTTATAATTTATTTTTTGCTTGAACGCAACCTTTTTTTCTTTTGTTTCCAAAATATTTTCCAGCTTCTACCTATTAGTGGTGAATGAATAGATGTCAAAGGTTAACCCTTGTGTGCCTAACTGTCATATTTTTCATGCTGACAGAAATTATTGTAGTATATGTTGTTCATGTAGTATATTTCAAATAGGAAAAATAAAGGTGGTTTAATTTTCTTATGCAGGTATGAAGGGGCCTTAGATCCATGGATGTTCTCTTTATGGACTATGCTGTATAATGAAAATCCACAACTCTTCCCAAAAGGTTTGGATGTTTTTGTGTCTGATCTGAAGATGCTCGATCAACCCAAAGTAGAAATAACATATCTTGACTCTGATGGAGGGTATTCACGATCTTCAGCGCAAATCGGTAATTAGCATGTTTGGTCTCAGTTTCATATTTTTCCAACCTCAACTTTCCATCATCTACTGTATTTCCTTCTTTATCCACAGCTTTTCCCAACCACAATTTTTCATCATCTACTGTTCTCTCTCTCTCTCTCTCTCTCTCTCTCTCTCTCTCTCTCCCTTTTTGGTAGTGGGGTGGGGGAAGGGTGGACTGTGATGCAGTTAGTGGATTGGGGAAGGTCTGATTAGACAAGTGCGTACTTTTCAAAGGGTATATCAAGTAAGTTACGGAGGTCAATATGTCAAAATCTCAATGTCTTTAGATATCTGTCAAAGCAAGTGCCTCTGGTTTCTCCTAATTATATGACTATAAGAAACCAAACTCATTAGAAGATTTCAAGGGGTGTACGTGTTTTCCTCCGAGTAAAATGTACGTGAAAAAGCTAAATTTTCAACAAGAAATTAGATAAGCTTCACATAAATAGCTGTTCATTTGAAACAGTTATTGTAAATAGCTACTATTTAGATTAACAAGCCTCTGGAAGAAACATGAAACTCTTATTTTTCCTTAGATCTTTGTCTGGTGTAATATATTGTTGAGGTGGGAAATCTTGAACTTTCTTCAACCTCACTTGATTTAATAATTTGTTTGGCCTAGTGTTGAGGATATAGATGAAAGGAGTTGCTGAGCATGCATGGTATTTATTATACATATGTAGTATATTTTAATTTGTCACTTCCTATGCCACCAAAGCCAGTTTATTAAGTATTTTAATAACTTGCTGATAATTGAATTTTTTTGTTCACAGATTTGAAGTCACTTGAGAAGGAAATAGTCAGGTCTCGGTCAATGTTATCTGGGAAAAAGTCCAATGATAAGAGTAAACCTGACTGCTTTATGAAAATGGTAGTGATGGAATTCCCTAGTATCTATGTGCTTGAAGTATTACCTTATGAGCAACAGTATCTCCAAAACTTTTTTAGGTTCAGTATTAAATGACAAAGGAATTTAAGAGAAAAAGGGTGAAATAAGGATGTTTACCGTATGAAAATAGATGGATCTTGTGCTATGTGTAAAGTCATTGAAAGTTGTTTACAGTAGCTTGTAACTGTGAAGAGGTTTTAATAGTCTGTTGACACTTAACATGCATGATTTGGATGGTAATTGAACTGTCTGAACTCTGGGCAAAAAGTCTACACGTCTTGCTTGTATGATTTATATATTTGCTTGGATATGATTGCAATGTGTAAATTTTTATATCTTAACTTTTCTTTATAGATTGATGCACACTCACACCCACACCCACACCCACACCCACACCCACACCCACACCCACACCCGCACCCACACCCACACCCACAGATGCAGACAACTGCCTCTTATGCTGCTTGAACCATCAACCTTGAGGTTTCTCTGGTGGAGTTCGTTAGCTCAGGATGGATGACTCTTTGTCATGTATCCATGAAGCACAAACTTGAAACTTGTGTAACGTATCTGGCCTAAGATGTACTTCATTGAGCGACCTTCATTAATCAAAATAATAAGTTGTTAATTTCAAATATTTTTATGAGGGTGTTCAGCATTTTATAGATTATATATTATTGGTAATTAATTTTGGTTGATGCTTCATATTCATCTGAAAAAGTGTAAACATCAACATGAAAGGACTTGCAAAGACTTGTATGGTCTGCTTTGTTTCATGCTGCTTTATGTTTCAACTTCCTTTGTCAAAAGCTTTTAAGGCATCCTTGAAAATCATATGTTCACTTTTGTTATCTATAATTTGAATTGTCATAATTTACGAAGGAGTAGAGACATTATTCATAGGGCTGGGTCTCTGCTGACTTTTTGACTTAAAGCTGCACACAAAGAACTATAAGTCTATGACCACCTGCTAGGATTTTATACGAGTTTTAATGACATTCTTATCAACTCCTCTTTTTTCATCATGCTACTATAATTATACCATTGTTACTGATAAAGGTGAAAAGTCTTCCCTTAAGCAGAGAAGGTTGCGGCAAAGATGTTCGCCATTTTGAATTTGAGGCGCTTTCATCTGTAAGTACGATATTAGCATTCCTTTCTCACAAGTTCACAATGGAACAGCTTCTCTTTATTTTTCTTGGAAGTAAGCACTTTGATTAGCAAGCCTACTATTTTATTTAGTTAGCTTGGACAACATTATTTTATTATTACTTGGCAAATGGGGATTCCATATACAAGTTGGTTCATAAGTGTACCAAAAAGCTCAAGTTGCCAAAGGGCTGTTGGCCCAGCGGTACCCAATAAGGCGGTAACCCAACTTTTCTGGAGGCGAGGGGTTAAAACCTGACCAAAGGTAGGGAGTGTGTGTGAGTTTTGCGGTATATAAATATTATATACTTCGAAAAAAAGCTCAAGTTGTTAGATCTTAGACATATCTGTATAATCAATTCTCTGTTTGTTTTCTTTTTGTTTTTTGTATCTCTAGTGTAGGATTTCTGCCCACATATGGTAGATGTAGGGCCTGTTTGTTAGCAGCTTAATGAGCTTAATGAGACTCACAACTTATTTGGTCAGCTATGCATGACTCTTTGGTAGTGGCTTAATGATATTGAAAGTGACTTATTTAGTAAGCTTCTAGGGGGAAACTTTATGCAGAAAGCCAAGTTTTTTTTCCAAACCCGTCCCTCCCAATTAAGAAACATGCTCATTTCATCTATGAAAAAACCCTTCCAAACAAAAATCTTTCCAATCTATACAGCAGATTTATGCACACAGACATCTTTATCCATACAAGACTTAATGGAAAACCAACCAATCGGCCCCGTAGTCAGTCTCCGTCTTCATACGCCTTGGGTTTGACTCAAATTCCATCATGCTATTTAACATACACAACTCTATAACTACAAATATTGTGCTATACCAATTGATAACCAACTCATGCAACTTTGCCCATAACTAGAAGTTTATTGGATCAACCAAGTTCTTTGTTCAATCTCCCAATCAAAAAATTCAACCTTACCTCTAAGCGTGCCATTGTAATTCCTCAGTACATATTGGTTGTTTTTTAGTTATTAAGTTCTTTAAACTGTTTTAAACCAGAATCCCTCTGAATCTCTGATAAATTTGTTACTGATTTGCTTCTTTCAGACTATTCAGTACGAAGTTGGCGATGTTCTTGAGATTCTACCTGGACAAAGCCCTGAAGCCATAGATGCGTTCATGAAGCGTTGTAATTTGAACCCTGAGTCATATATTACTGTGAGTATTTGTTTCTATATATCCAAGTTATTTCTGTTTTCTACATGGATTTATTTTGCTTGTTACATGTTTCTTATTCTATAAAATATTTCGTCATATGGATGCAATTTTGAAGTCTTTTAAGTTGTAACATGTTCCATAACAGCTATTTAAAAATTGCTGCATCTTTTACCAAACGATGCGATTTAAAGCATTTGTATTCATTTTTTTTTTATCTTTTTACTCTTAGGAAGTGAATTATGTTGGAAGCTTCTTCATAATGAATAGTTGTGCATATGATATAGACTTTGGGTTTCAGGTTAAGCCTAGAAATAAAGAGGATTGTTTTGAGGATGGTGTAAGTGCCTCAAAAGGTCCCATAAAGTTAAAAAGGTTCGTTGAGTTGACTATGGATGTTGCATCAGCGTCGCCCAGACGTTACTTCTTTGAGGTAAAGTGTCTGAATAAGTTCTATATTCTTGTATCTCAATTATACATCATCCCAAATATACTGTAATGGTTGGCTCATCAGATTGTTGGATTTTACAATTTACTCACTCCATGCAAAATAAATGTCCAAAATGAAAAAGGCACACATGTTTAGGAATGTGTAATTAAATGACCTAAATTTTGTAAAAATTGCTACTTCATCCTAGTCCTTGATGTGGTTGCAAAAGTTAATTCTTCTACCAAATTCCCGAGTCAAAATTGAAAATGATTATTATCCTCATACTGAATCGTCAATCTTGTTACTGTACCATGTTTTCCGGGTTGTCTTATCTTTGGGCGAGTTCAAACGAGAAGACGGTCAACTTACGGGAAAGGCTAGAACGACCAAATCGCATGTGATACTATAGTAAATCACTTGTGATTAACAACATGTCTAGAAGGGTCGCGTTGACCAGTAGCCCGTGTCTTTCTGGACATGTTGTAATTCACATGTGATTTACTACAGATCACATACGATTTTCCCGTTCTCGTGTTCTCGTAAGTTGACCGCCTTCTCATTTGATCCTTCCTATATATATATAATAAAAATTGCTTCCATTTGCCTCTAGTGCTATTTGATTTTAGTTTTCATGCCTCATTGCTAAGGGTGGATTTTGATTACACGAACCATGCTGATGATTGATTCTTCTAGGTGATGAGTTTTTTGGCTAGTGCTGAACATGAGAAGGAGAGGCTCGAGTATTTTGCCTCACCCGAAGGACGAGATGATCTCTATCAATACAACCAGAAGGAACGAAGGACTGTTTTAGAGGTAAATATGTATTCAACCTGAAATTTGCTTTTTGTTCTTATTTAGGAACTGTATAGCCATTATTTCTCTTCTTAATTTTATTGATATTCATCATTCATATAATCTGTACAAAAATGTTGACCATTAGCCGGCTTTCTGAAAAAACAAATTACTCCATCATAGGTGTCAACGTTTCTATTTTAGTTTGTCCAAAAAAATAAGTTCCACTTCCAAAACGAAGTGCATACTTTTCAATTATACTCTTAATTATGAGATGATGAAATTCATTACTGTCTATTATTAAGAGTAAAATTGTCATTTAGTTAATTAAAGTGCAATGATGACAGTTCTAAAACTACACGCCTTTTTCATCGTGGACATTTCTTTTGGGATGGAGGGAGTAAAATAATTCCATGGATCAAAAGTCCAAAATCAATAACCAAATCAAACAAAACTAACCGAGCATATCCCAATCAGGATGTAGGTCCGTAGAGGGTGGGATATACACAGATCTGTCATCTACCCCAAATCAATGTTAACAGTATTTTATGGTGGTTGCTAATGGATAAGAAGGTACTTTTTGGTTTTAAGTTTGCTAAAAAAGGAAATATTGCATTTATTTTGGACATTTCACAAAGAAGAGTGTTGCATTTATATACTCGAGTTCCGTCATTGTGCAGGTACTCGAGGATTTCCCATCTGTGCATATGCCATTTGAGTGGTTGGTGCAGCTGGCTCCTCCTTTGAAAACAAGGGCATTTTCGATTTCTTCTTCTCCTTTGGTTCACCCTAATCAAGTACACCTCACTGTTAGCATAGTTTCATGGATAACTCCTTTCAAGAGAAAACGGACCGGTCTGTGCTCCAACTGGCTAGCTACACTCGATCCTCACCAAAGTATGTAACCTCCCTTTCTCGATTTCTACGTGCTCCCTCTACACACTAGGCACTGTGAACCAAAGGATCCCAGTATATCCTGCTCTCGAGCAGGGTCTGAGGGGTGAGATACTGAGATGTATAAAGAATTGTCCTCTTATATATCCCAACGGATAGAGTGCTTGTTTCTGTGAACTTCCCCCCCCCCCCCCCCTTCAGGTTTTTTCATGGAAACAATCGCACCACTCTTGGGGGCTGCTTGTTAGCAGCTTAATAAGACTCGCAGCTTATTCGGTCAGCTATACATGACTATTTGGTAGTGGCTTAATGATATAAAAAGTGGATTAATCAGTAAGCTCCTAGGGAGAAGCTTTATGCAGAAAGCCAAGTTTTTTCCAAACCTGTTCTTCCCAATTAGTACATGCTCATTCCATCTATGAAAACCCCCTCCAAACATAAACTTCCTAATATTTATAGATGGATTAATCCACATTGACAACTTTATCAATATAAGACTTGTGGGAAAACCTTCCAAATGGCCCCTTATGGTAGATGTAAGGTCTGTAAACATCATATCCCTGGACCCCACCTCCAAGGAGGGACATACCGGGTTCATTATCTTTTTTCTCTTCATATTTGTATTTGCATTTGGTGCAAGAATGTCACTGAACGGGACTGCACTGGACAGGACCGGATGAGATAGGGAAGTGAAATAATCGTGGAAGATTTTAAGGTTTTAATTTGACATGGATAGTTTAGTAGTTTACCAGTCTTGTCCAATGTCCCTAATTTTTATTCCACCTATTTTGGTATGACAAGAAAAATGCATTTTTGTCCCACTTAGGTCACGTTCTGTGTACTGTTTTGTTCTGTCCTGTCCTGCATTGCATTACCATTACCAAACGCACCCTTATTATTTTTGCTTCATGGTCTATGTTGTTCATGAACAGGAGTCTGCATACCAGCATGGTTTCACAAAGGCTCTCTTCCTTCACCCCAACCCTCACTCCCACTCATCCTCATTGGACCCGGTACTGGTTGTGCACCTTTTCGTGGATTTGTGGAGGAACGAGCCTTCAAAGATCATATATCCCCAACTGCTCCAATTCTTTTCTTCTTCGGCTGTCGAAACGAGCATAACGACTTCTTATACAAAGATTTCTGGCTTTCTCACTCACAAAACGGCGGGGTTCTTTCGCAAGAAAAAGGAGGCGGCTTTTATGTCGCTTTTTCACGAGACCAACCACAAAAGGTGTATGTCCAACACAAGATGCATGAACAGAGCGGAAAGATTTGGGATTTATTGAGTAAAGGGTGTGCGGTTTATGTTGCGGGTTCTTCGAATAACATGCCGGCGGATGTGTTAGCGGCTTTCGAGGAGATCGTGGCTCAAGAAAGCGGTGTGTCGAGGAACGCCGCCATAAGGTGGCTGAAGATGTTGGAGAAAGGTGGCAAGTACCATGTTGAAGCCTGGGCTTGAGTTTAGCTAATTATTTTTTACATATTTTTTTCTTATAGCTGTCTACTTGTATGCAACTATCTTACTTTAAGATATGACATGATATACCGGGTTTGTTTGATTCGTACTGATTTATCTGCTTGGTTCAATCGGATGGGAGTATGAATTTGGTTAGATAGATTGTTTACCAAATTGATGCAATCTGATTCATTTACCAAACGCTTACTCGGGTAAGTGAAGATCAAGTTACATTACCTTATCGGATGAATATGTAAGGACCAAAAATCTTATCCGGTAGACAAGGGCCAAGAGTTTTGCCCGGTAAGTGAGGGCGATGACTCTTAACACGGTAAGCGCTTACCGGGTAAACTATTGCATATGATATTGTTTTTGTGGACTAAAATCTTAACTGGTAAGTAAATGATAGTGTTTAAATTTTATCGATAAACACTTACCGGATAAGTATTTGGTAAACAACCACTTAGTTTATTTCTAACTAAATGATATTTTGGCTGTAATATTGAGGTTTAATCATCTTTGAACCCTATCTTTAGATAACTGTAATAACTATTATTGTTTTATATGATTTTTTATTTAATATTAAAATTTATTATATTGATTAATATGTATTTGTTTCATATGTATTCAGTTGACAATGTGAAACCCTTTAGTTGTATTTTTTTGTTTTACAAATACATAAAAATGGTATTTTTGTGAAACATATATATGTTAACACATGATAACTGGTTTGCAAGATTATCATAATTTTATACGTTCTCAAATAAAAGCATTGTTAATATTATATTTATATTAATTTATGATACAATATAAATTTCATTTTTAGGTTTCCTAACTCTGGTTTTCAACTTATTTAAAAAGTTAACAATTTAAAACATAATCATATATTTAAAATAATACACATTATTCGAACTTATAAACAATTAATAAGTATAAATATATAATTGAAAAACTATACAAATTAGAAACATTGAAATCATAAATATTTTTTTTATTAACCTGGAATATCCAACCTGTTATACGAGTCGACTAATTCTAGAGATCAGCAAAGATGGTTTTCCGGAGTCGCCGTATTTAAACTTCCGTGATTACAAGGGGATTCTTATTCCTTCTTGGATTCGAACATGTGACTTTCAGACACTTTTAACTTTGAAACCTAAGCTCAAATCAATCTATCACCAATCATAAATATTAATTATTTGATGTTAAAAATTACGGAAATCAAAGATTAATTAGATTTTACTATATTTTAATACAATGAATGATACAAAGATGCTTGAAATGTAAGGGGATCATATTTTTACTTTAACTATAGGATCATACTTATTTTACTTTTTATTATATTGATCGAGGGGTGGTAAAAAAGGGTTAAATGCATGAAATAATAACTTACTTTTATAAAAAAATTATTATAGCATTTCACTTTTGTTTTTTTATTACAACAATGTACTTTCAAATTATTTTTTATTAAGACATCGTACTTTAGAAATCTACCCAGTATAGCAATGTGTAACCTGTTACCTTTTAAACCGGTTAACCTCTTGACTTTTTTTTTGCTTGTGTGTGATAACTGGATTCTGGTTACCATCCGTGGTAATTAATACGTTATTATCTGTTAAATGATTATGTGTCAGTATGATAAATTGATATATTTGATCATGCTAGTATGTGAAATTTTATACATGATAAAATACATACATAGATATGTATATGTATGAATATATGCATGATATGTATAAATGGGTATATATATATATATATATATATGAATACATATGCATATATACATGATGGAGGTATGCATGCATGAAATAGTATATGTATGGTATATGCATGCATGAATGGTAAGGACGGTTTAGCCGCATTACTTTATTTAGAAAAATATAAATATGAGGGTGAGACCCTCATATACCCTTCTTGTCATTTTTGAAGAAGTGTGCGATTTAAGGAGAGATTGATCGGATTGCATATTATCTGAATTGCAAAGAAATTGATTTTCAAAAAGTATTGCATAAGGTGAGTGGTTTACCATTTTTATTTCAATTGTAAAGTAATTCTTTTGATTTGATCAATATTTGTTTTGAAAACTTGTTTTACTCGGTTTAGACTTAAACCGAACAAAATGTGAGCGATTTAAGGTTAAATCGCTTGGTGTATCAACCGATTTAGTCTTAAACCGGATAAGGGTTGAGCGATTTAGATATAAACCGGACATAGGCTCACCCGGTTTAAGGATAATCCGACTAAAATATTAGCCGGTTTAGGTGTTGAGTGATTTATGAACTTGAAATTATGTTAAATGTTTTGAACGGAGAAGTAGGATTACGACTAAGAGGTATCCACATTGTTAAATCGGACAAAACCTCTAAGTGTTGTCCGGATTATTAAATCGGACAGATTATAGAATGTTGACCAGATTAGTAATCCGGCCAAGGTTGTCCGGAGATGAATTCCGGTCAATTATGTATTTATCAAATTTGAGTATTGACTTATGTATTAGTCATCATTTTGTTGTTCTTTTAAAAAGAATGAAATTTTTTATAAAGATGATTTTGAACTGATAATATTCCAAAAGAACACTTATGACTGTGGTCTGTTCTATAATGGAATTGTTTTGTGAATTGTTTTGATGAAGAAATAAGGGTGACATATCAAGGAGAGGTAAACCATGGGATAATAGTGGCATATCAAGGAGAGGTGTACCTTTGGATATAAGAGTGACATTTGTATGTGTTATGTGATATAACTCTTATTATTATATCCTTTAAAGTTACCGTGGTCTGAAATCTTTATTTCTTTGTGATTTGAAGGTTTAGGATCATAGTTCTTATTAGAAATCATAGTCTGAATGTTATTGAGGAAAAAGTAACAGAATTGGCCTGGAACTTTGAATAAACCTTGTTTAAATAGGAAGGTTTAAAAGTGGCTTTATAATAAACCTGTTTGGGTTTTGATGTATTATTTGTAAGCATTGGGATTGGCTTGAAAGGTAAAAAGGTACTGGTAATATGTTCTTACTTGTTCATATATTTGTTATATATATAAAAAGTTGTTTTACATAAAAGTTTTGGTGATTATCACCCTGCAATAACATAAAAAGGGAACTCACTAGATCTTTCGGTCTAACCCTCATTTTGTGATTTTATATATGTGTTACAAGAGGTGCAGATGGTAAGGGAAAGAGAAAAATATGATAATTCCCTATGTGTATATTTGCATGAAGATTTGCTGATGATATATATAGTTTTGCTAGATAAAACTTGATAGTACAAGAACTGTATTTTGAATTTTTGGACCTTGTATTATGTAAAGGTAGATTCTTGTACTAAGGAATTTATGTGGTGTATACACATGTATTTCTTATGTATGAAGTATATGTTATATGCAATGTGTGGAATGAGGTGTTACATTGTATGACTTTAATGAGGTGATGTGGATGACCCATCATTTTGATGACTTTATTAAAATAAAAATAAAAACTTATTTCAAATTATTATTAGTGATTTTCATTTTTCATTGCTATGATTTAAAAAAAACATTTAATTTTTTTGACTTTTTCTTATTAAGTTATATGCAAATTAAATATTCTAGAGTAAAATATTTCTTAAATAAATATGCTGCATTATTTTCGAGATATATTTTGTTTATAAAAAATGTAACATTTCTTATTTTATGTTGTTCAAAAAAATACATATCTTTTAAAGTTCTCTGTAAAATGTTAACGAAATAAATTGTGTTCTACAATTTTTTAATATTGTTATACTAATAAATAATTCAAAAAAAATCTAACAAATTTAATATATTTAAACGTCAATTTTTTTGAACAAATATAATATATTATTTAGAAGATATTATATTTTTGATAAAAAAAGAACAATTCTTATTTTCTTTTTTACAGAAAACATATTTTTAAAAAAATATTAACGAAATAAGTTGTTTTCTACTAGTTTTATTAATATTGATATATTAATGAATAATTTAGATTTTTTAATTCATTTAATATATTTATTAAATAAAATATAAAATATCTAAATATTAAAAAAGTATATTGTTTAATAAAAATTTAGTAGATGCTATAATAAAATAATTTTGAAAGTATAATGTTGTAATAAGAAAGTCACATCACTATAATAAATGTGGACAACCTACATGGGCAACGAGGTGGCATGGAAACCTGGTATAATGAGTAAATTTAAATCAAAAGGTTACCCAATACTATAATGGGTAAATTTTTCAAAGTACAATATCCTAATAAAAAATAGTTTGAAATTACATTGTTGTAATAAGAAAAACTGAAAATATAATACTATAATAAAGAAATTTATAAAAATAGATTGCTATTTTATGCATTTTATCCGGTAAAAAATAACCCAACTCGTTAACCCGGTCCAAATCCAACCTAAAATTAACAGATTAAGTTGAAAATTTTAATCCATTTAAATAAATGAGGTAATCCATCTAATCCGTTTAAATAAATGAGTTGGGTTGGATTAACTTTTCTTCGAATAAACATATTTTGTCGGAAGAAAAGTTAAATTTTGAATAAAAAGTTATGAAAAGAGAGTTTCTTTTATCTTTCCCCTTTATCCACCTCCCTCCCTCCCCCATTGTGCGACGCTGCTCGGTGGTTCTGCCTCTGATTAGTCTCAAGGCCGCTGGCACTCCGCCCCTATCCCTACCCGTCGTCCACTGCTGAACGGCAATTCCCCAACCCTAGCATCGCATCTTGATTCACGCCCTAACGGTTGTAGTTTCTTTCTACTCGGTAATTCCCCGTTTCGATTAACATATGCAGGAATCACTTGATTTTTGGATTTGATTTTTGTGAGTTTGGATATGGAGAAAAAAATCTTGGTGTTTTTGCAATTAAAATCGTAAAAATGCATGAACTGTACTGTCTTACCTAAACCCTATAGATTTTGTGTGTGTGTTGGATTTTGGATGTATCAAACTCATAAAACGAGATCATCATAGCTAAACCATGCTTGTTTTGTTAGTTTGAATACAAATGTACAGATATTGGAAGGTTAGCTTATAAACTGCTCTCATAGCTCATTTGTGCTTGCTTACTATGTTTAGAGTGCCACGTAGGCTAGACTTGGACCCTTTTTCTTAATATATATCGGAGCCTCCATTGTCTTCTCGAATGCTCTTTTAGAGACTAATATGTGGGTTTCACATATTCTAACACACAGAATTGTTAGTGGCAGATAAGATGCTTTGTGAAATTATGCAGCAACAGCTTTTGGGTTTTCTTGGCTTTCCCTAATTTGCTAATACAAAGTCAGATAGTTGGAATGTTTTTGAAGTCAAAACTTTCTACCTAGTTAGAGTATTCCCTTGCTCCATCTCAATGAACCTGCTTGTTTACAAATTGTAGGCAGATGTATCTTAACAAAGAAATTTTATTATTCTAATGATAATTTGAGGATTGTAGAGCATTTCTTTATCAAGTCCAAGCATAAATACCGACCTATTAACCAGATCTTATTGACCAATTGTCGAAAGCCAGAAAGACAAGGTACTACTACTACCGTATTAGGAAAATTATGGACTTAGATGGGGAGGATTGAATTTACATTAGCAACACATCAATTCATGACTTAAGCCAGAGTTACATTTTTGTGGATTTGTTGTTCTGTTTCCATTTCCTTCACTTTGGTCACTTACGTGAGTGAAGATTTTTGTTCTCTAATTGGAAGATATGTTTCACTGCTTCATCATGGTCTTTTATAAGCTGGGGAAGAATTAATATGTAATAAAATCTATCATTTGTGATGTTTGATCTTGACCATTTTCATTTGCCCTAATCCTCTCATGTCATTCATTAAACACATTCAACAACTTGTTGGAAGTTTCTTGTATGAGATTTGATTCAAATGAGTCGCTTTTCATCTTTTACATCCTGTTTTCTCAAGATTTTCATATTTGAGCACCCATATGCTCAAAGGTTAAACTTAACAAGCAACGTGTTGAGACACTTTTCAAAGCTAAAGATGGGTGGACCTATAGGTTGGGGAGCGGGGTTCTGTTCACCCGCTAATCTAAAATTGTGAGAAGAAATTTTTGGGGTATGAAAGGTGCACCCGCTAAAGTTTGAGGGGTGCTCAGGAATATTTGAAAAATGGCTATGGTAAAGGTGCACCAAATTTAAAAATTAAGGGACCAAATGAAATCTGATCCCATTTTATGTTATTTCTCGGGACATAGATGTAGCGTTTGGTATGCACATGATAGGACTAGACAAGACTAGACATGACAGAACTAAACAAGACAAGAGGGTAGGACTGGAAAGGAGTGTATGTCTGGTGTTTGGTACGAATAGGATCGGATAGGATAGTACTAGACAAGTTTCCCAAAAAAGTTGTTTGATGATTTTATATAACATATAATAGTTATAAATGACACAAATAAGATAATATTTAAATCATTTAATGCATAAACATTTTTACACAATTTTCATATACATAAATACATACATATATATAGGGTTGGGTTATGGTGAGAGTGAGAGTTATGGTGAGAAGGGTAAGAAGGGGTCCACCCTTGGATGAATATTAATTGAAAAGTTCCACTAGACCAACATTAATGAGAAGCACCAGATCAATTCCCTTCTAACCTTAACTCTTATTCTCACACGATTCTTCGTCTACATGTATAAATAGTACCAAATTTGAATGAAAATTATGTTTTTTTGGTTTGGAAGATCCTTATGAATTGACAGAGGCACAATGAAGGTTGTTGCAGCAACATTGATTGTGGGGGTAGAGGCAGTGGTGGTTGGTGGATGACGGTGGTTGTAGAGGACGTGAAGATGGTGGATTGTCGTGGTGTTGGCGGCCGACAGTGGAGGAGGTAGTTGTGGCTGATGTAGTGGAGATAGTAGTGGTGGTGGGAATTGGTAGTGGTAGCCAATGGTGGTGATGGAGGTGGCGGACGGTGGTAGTGGCGGTGGTGGTCGGTGGTTGTGGAGGTGGTAGAGGAGGTGGCCGATGGCGGCGGTGGCTGCGACTGGTGGTGGTGACCATTAAAACAAATACCATATTGAGGTTATATATTAGACGAGGGTAGATTAGTAATATTTTAGCTTATATCTCATTTCTGTCCCATCTTGTTTTCGATTTATTTTGGTGGAACAAAAAAAAGCCTTTTTGTCCCACGCTGTCCCATTTTGTCCCAGTTCTTCTCCCTGTCCCTATCATGCCAAACATGGAACGATGAGTTCTTGTCCTGTCACATGTCCCGCCAAACGTGGGAAAGTGAGTTTTGTCCTATCATATCCCATGTACCAAACGCAGCCGGAGGGATCATTTATGAAATATGCAGTAATTAAACAAAATACAAAGATGGAGGACCTTGATTTTTTTTTCAAAGAGCATGAGGGGCTGTGGGAGTGGGGAGTTTCTCATTTCTAAAAATGAACAACCCCAAGAGTCTCTGTCTCTCATCTTGAAACTTCTGCCCAGCAGGCAGCGCCAAGTTCTCTCCCACTCAGCCTCTCAGTCTCCGCCGCTTCGACCGGTTCTCTTGACTCTCATCCTCTCAGCCTCTCACACTCATTCAGTCACTCTCTCAATCTCTCATTCAGGTTTTTTTAAAACATGACTCAAATTTAAAATTTTGCTCTAAATTGATGTTCGCCATTTGCCCTTAATTGTTCAGTTATAATGTGTAACATGATTTCATTTATTCGTTTACATGATTTTTTTGTTTGTTTTGAGTTTTTACAATTTGAGTAATTGAGTTTTGATTCTTGATCTATACTTTTGCCCAAGATTTGCCTCATATCTGTTAATGTTCTTACCTTATTTTCAATTTTTTCAACTGTATTTGTTGTCTTGTTGATGTTTATTTGTTTAATCAATTTAGGGTTCTTTAAATTTGGTTGGTTAACTTTAATATGCAAAACATCCTATTTGGTACTAAAATCCTAGATGTATAAGGAAACAAAACTAAAAACCTTGAAAAAAAGGTAAAGGATAACAAGAATCAAATCCTTAAAGTTGAGAAATTTTACGAAATTAACCCAAAAAACCGAAAAACTCTCGAAATCAACCAGAATTTGTGGCAAAATTATTGGTCCTTGTTATGTTCATCTAGTAAGGTAATTGAACCAGTAAGTGTTTATAGTTTTATCTATTTCTGTATAGTTCACGTTTCACATACCAATATAATTTTGCCACAATTTTCTTAAAAAAACTATTAACTACAGAAAAGAAAAAAGGCCTTTGTGTAACAAAAATCAGTTCCATTAAATGTTAATAATTCCTTTTCAATCTTTTCTCCCCCAACAGTTGATTAATAAGATGTTATCGTCATTGGGAATGAGTGTGAATAGCAATTGCTCTTACAAACCCTCTACTGGCACAAACGTTGATGGGGAATCAGTCCTGTTGAACCCCTCCACCGTTAATTTCCCCCTGCTCAAGCTCCCCGCCGCTGCTAAATTCAGCCATGCCTCCAGAAGATTCAGGAACCCTACTGCAGCGGCATCTGGAGTAATTGCAGCTGAAACGCCACTGGAATCTGAGGTCCACTTCTTTCCTCTATGATTCTCTGTTTAATTCCTATTTATTGTCCCCTCCTGATTGTTAATTGTATGTGAATTACGGATGCCTTGTGAAAAACTGTAAGTAATACCCATGCACATGAAGCTTGGTATTTCTCGAATGCAAATTGATATGAAGTTTGTTACTAATTTCAGACAGATCTTGAATTTAAACTTGATTAGCATCCAAAGCTGCATAATTTTGGTATGCATCTGATAAAAAGCACACACACAACTTGCAATTTGGACTCACAAGGTGAAATAGCAATTTGGGCTTTTGATAGAATGCTGTAAAAAGAATCAAGAAAAATGAAAAGTTGCATATGGGGTTTTGGGGTTGAACACTGAAACATGAGAGTCATATATAACAAGAGTTCCCTTATTTTACAAACCCAATAATTCATACAAACTACAAACCAGCTTTCATGTGTTTCATAAACGACAAGTGTGAAAATGCAGTGTTTCACGCATGTTTTGCAATGTCAAATATATAATCTCGAAATGGGTTGATTTTGTAGAAGCTTGGAGTGGTTGTGAAGCCAATGGAGAAACCTCGGCTGGTGTTGAAGTTCATTTGGATGGAGAAAAACATCGGGCTAGCCCTGGACCAAGTGATTCCGGGATATGGAACCATTCCTGTAAGTCCTTACTATTTTTGGCCAAGAAAAGATGCTTGGGAAGAGCTTAAGATGATGCTTGAAAGTAAGCCCTGGATTTCTCAAAAACAGGTAATTATTCTTCTCAATCAAGCCACTGATATTATTAACTTATGGCAGCAAAGTGGTGGTGATTTACAGTAACTTCTTGTTGCTTATTGCCTTTCAAGTTTTATTTAGTAGACCTGATAATGTTCACAAATTGATACAGTAACTTCTTGGTTTATCTGAATGATATAAATGACCGTTTTACCGTTCAGTTCCACAGATTCATGGTTTGCATCTCTCATCATCCTAAAGATAAACTTTAACACAATTTTTTCAACTCAACCACAACCGCTTTTGTTATTCATTGAACCGGTTTTTGTTTACATATACATATAGAACCAAAATAATATCTATGCTCTGTTGATGTCAATGGAACAATATGAACCATAAGGTAAACTTGTGGAAATCCACCAAACCAAGTTCTCAGTTGAACAAGATACAAAAAACCCAAGTTGAAAGTGAGAGAGATAAGGTTCGGTTAGGATGAATGAATGAAGAAGGTAATTAAACAGAGGGTGAGGGTTTCGATTATAGATTAGGATTTCAATTAGGGTTGGGAAGGAGATGTAGAGGTCGTTGGGTCTTGTTTCTTGCTGAAGAACGGATGCAAATGAGGGAAGGGTTTCGATTATGAGGAAAGGAGATGCAAGGTTTCAGTTGTGGGGAGAAGCAACGATGAGGGTAGGAGATGCAGAGAGGAGAGGGTGATCTGAGAAGTGACATCATCGAGGAACAGAGAAGAGAGGTCGTCGGCCCTGAGAACTTGCTCGCCAGGGAATAGAGAAGAGAGGTCGTCGGTCAGGCGTTAAGGTTGTGTTGTGCATGTTTAACCAAGGGATAGGAGTTGTCATTTTGTTGGCTGAAATCTGGACAAATGAGGTCTTTTATCTCTGTGAATAAGATGATGAAATTAATTTTCATTAAGTTCTAAGTAAACACCCTAGTATCGCTGTCTGAATAAGCCCCACAAACTAGTAAACAACCCCTTCATGGAAATCAACTAAACAACCCCTTAGAATAAAGTTTTGGATGAGTGAAGTTTTTGCGTAAATCGTTTGGTAACCGCAACCCGTTTGGTAAAGTATTTCATAATGTAAATCATTTCTCAACTTTTTTCGTAACTCATTTCGTAATCTATGTGCAATGGACCTATAATCGACTTTTTTAGCTTTAAAATACCAACAATACTAAAGGAAAATGTTTCCAGAAATCTTGTGAATTCGAGGACATTGTTTCATGTAGCAAGAACCACGGGCCATAACACAAGGGTGGTGTCTGATTGGTTTGAGTTTGGCTCCAAAGGTCAAAAGTACCAGGGGGTCTCATGTTCAAATCCAAGGAGGAATAAAAATCCCCTTGTCGCCACGAAGTTTCAAATGCGGTGACTCCGGGCTATTTGCAAAGCAGGTGGTCGTCCTGGGATTAGTCGGCTTGCATAGCGGGTTGGATGTACAGGTTAATAAAAAAAAAAAAAACCACGAGCCACGTTCCTAACTAACGTTGGGTTCGTGTTAGGAGGATGACGAATCGCATCATGTCAATGCGTTGCCAATGTACTTTCCGAGCTCTCATATGAGGATGGAAAACCGAAGCAACTTTTTCTGTATTGGTGGATGGAGACTCGCCAACATTAAAACATCAAATATTGTAAGAATATGTAGAATCTTCATATTTACTCTCCAAAAAATCCTTGAGAACAGATGGGAGATTCCACATAGATAGAGCAGAAATAGTTCCAAGTCTAAACGGTGTGAAACTCCAATTATATTTTATGTAATTACTCATTTTTTTTGTGAACGTTTATGCTTTTAGAAAATCTAAATTTTAAGCGGGTATTGAGGGGTAATGAATGAGAATGAGAATGAGAATGAATGAAAAATGTAGTTTAATTTGATATAATATAATTAGGGGTTAGCAGCGGAACCGGGTACCTACTTGCGGAACCGGAACTGTCTTGGAACCGCCAGTTTTGGAACCGGAACTGATATGAGTGGTTCCGGTTCCTAAAATACGGAACCGATTGAGAATGGTTCCGGTTGTCAATTTTTCGGAACCGTTACCCGCTGGGTACCCGTCGGAACCGGTTCCTGGACCGGGTACCCGGTATTTTTCACTTAAAAAAATAATTAATTTTCTTTTAATACTAAATTTAAATTAGGTCAAGAACTTAGAACTCTAGATTAGATTTTTGGTCCCGTCTCTACGCCTCATACTCTCGGGCCTGAGGCCTCTCACCGTGAGAATTTGAAATGAGATTCAGAATCATCACAGTCACGAGATAAAATGATTCGTATTTTTCTAAATTATGTGTTTAATTGGATACGTAGTATATAATCGTTAAACTTTGAACATTTACAATTATAGTATGCAATCGTTAAACTTTCAATATTTCCTATTAGTCTATTATGATTTGTAATCGTTAAACAATATTTATAACCATTATTCCGTATAATTTGTATTTTTGTTTATTTACTTAGTGTTTTGGCAATGTTTTATTTTTTATTTCTAAATAACAAAATTTTAATATTTTAGAAAGCGGGTACCCGGAACCGGAACCGAATCTCTACGGTTCCAGTTCTGGTTCCAAAAATTCAAGAACTGCTCTAACTGGTTCCGGTTCCAATATCTCAAGAACCGCCGGTTCCAGTTCTGTCAAATAGGACAGGTACCCGCCTATGCTCACCCCTAAATATAATGGACTCGTTACTCCAAACCCTTTTAATTTCGATACTTGACTAAATTCCCACTCAGTCCTCTTTTTCCATACGTCGCTCCATTTCTCAATGTTGAATGAAACATATTTTATATTTTCAAGTTGGACGAAATATATTTGTATTGAAAATATTATAAAAAAACATTTTTTCATTGATTATACGATGCTCATTCCTATTTTCATTTTCATTTCTTAAAATTAACCACCTCAGTATATCAGAATTTCTAGTGTTTCTATCCCTAGATGGATGAGACATAACATGTAAGGGGACTGTTTACTAAACGATTACCCGGTAAGTACTTGCCAGGTAATTTTTTTCATCGGATGAACATGGTAAGGGCCAAGAATCTTACCCGGTAAGAGCGATGATAAGGATGAAGAGTCTTACTTTGTATATGATACGTTTTGATGTACTACAATCTTACCCAATAAAATAAATTATAGAAGAGTCAAACACTTACTGGGTAAGCATTTAGGTAAACGACCCCTAAGTGTCTTTATCTTTTTTATACCCTAGATTTTTGTAAACACGTTTTCTTTGGTTTTATCTTTTTCAAATCAGAAAAAAGAAACTTTGCAGAACACTTTTTTGTCTTGTCTTAAAACAATAATTTCTATTTAATATCCATATGAAAAGATGGAAACGTAAAACAAAAAAGCATGAATATTACCGAACTTGTTAATTTTCATAGAGCACTAAAAAACCCTTATAAACCACCGCCAAAAACAACCCTCATTCACCAAGGGCTGTTTATTCTTGGGTCTATAGACTTTATCGGTTAAGCCATTACTTGTCTAGATGATGTACATGAAACAGTGTACCCACTCTCTAAAAGGAACTTAAAGATTGGGTTGGGTTGGGTTGATTTTACTTTGCTTGTTAGACCCGACCCGACCTAGGCATGAAAAGGAAGGGGATATAAAGTTCAATAATCCTAATAACACATGAAAATGCAAATCCACAACCAACCATGAATAGTTAAACCCATTATTGTAGGAAATAATGTCGTCAAACTTCAAAAGATAAGTCACATAGAACTAGGAAAGATGTAATCAAAACAACCACAATCCTTTTAACTCACTCTTCGAACTCATGCATATGATCCAAAAGATAGTTAGCCGCTAGCTCCTCGTTCTTGTTGCAAGCGAAAAATACTTCCAGTACCAATGCTTGATCAAAACCCATCGCCTCCAGCTGCATAAAACAACCTTCATCATTTCAAATCCAATCCGAACCAAACCAGTATATCCACATGGAAAAGTGGGGTTTACAGGTGGGATGTACGCATATCTGTATGGAAAAAAGAGAACCAGTTCTCCGTATGGAAGAAAACTTATCAAAGGTTCTATGGTGTTGACAAGACTAAACGGAAAACATTGAGGTAGGCAGGTCAAAGATTGTATAAGCCCACAAGGTTTTAGGATATTCATTTGCCATAGGTAGTTTAGTAATTTATCATTTTTGTCCAATCCTGATTTTTGTTCCACCTACTTTTGCATTTTTTGTCCCACTCAATTCGGTCATATCTCTATCTAATGTCACACCAAACATGAAACAACAAATTTTTGTTTAGTCATGTCTTGTCTCAGTCTAATATCTCAACAAAACACGAGACAACAAGCTTGTCATGTCTTATTTTGTTCTAGTCTAATGTCACACTAAACATGAGAGATTAGGTTTTTGTTTTGTTATGTCCTGTCCTGTTCTAATGTCGCATAAAACATGAGCTGACAGGTTTTTGTTCTGTTATGTCCTGTCCTACATACCAAATGCACTATATTTGTTAAGAAGGAATCAATGAATGAAAGATATAGAGCTGGTAAGCTTACACGTTCAATTGCTTCACGCTCTTCAGGTGTTACTGTTACAGATTGCGGCATTGCTCCAGCCAGTTGTCCCAGAACGTTTCTGATTCCACGGTTGTTAAACATCAGCATAGAACGTAGCGAAACGTATATTTATCAAAGGCAGAATGAAAGCAAAAAATATGGAATCTAATAATAATTGAACTCACCCCTCGCCTTCAACAGGCTCATTTATCAAGCGTAAAAAGTCCGCCTGATGGTCTTGAATAAGCCGCATGAGGTTTGGGTTTTGCTTTCCTAGCTCTTGAAGCATAGGCTGCAAATGCAAATATAATATTTTATATGAGATTCGATCAACCTTCCAACGTTCGGTCGTCTCAAATCAAACAAGTAAATAAAACCAAACGAGTCCAGTATGTCCCACATGGAGGTGGGGTCCTCTGGCGGGGGAGGGTAAGATATGTATAGACCTAACCTCTACCTTCAACGAGTTGAGCGGGTTTTTTACATTATATTACAAGTCATTTGTGTTCTTTCACAATATATTAGCAGTGATTTGTGGTGATTTATTGCACGAGAGCGCCTTTTTTACATCATATATTAAAAAAATTCAATAATAGGTAACCTTCATCGATGAATCTTGATAGAATTATTAATTTTTTTTAGCAAAGGGCTTATTCATTTGGGATGCAGGAGTTACAATAGAATAACTTTAGCTGGTAAGAACTATCTTAATAGAAATCACCTGCAAGATTTGAGGATTGGCTTGCACCATGGCTCGGAATGCTTGGAACTAAATAAAACAAATACATACATTAGAACTCGATAGTTACACTCACAGGAAGCTTGAGAATCGAAGAACAAACACTCAACCCTACCTGTTGACTATTTCTCAAGAAATCCAAGGTACCGGCACTTGCATTTGAACCCACGTTCGGAAGCCCCTATTAATAGCAATAGTGTCACCCACCAGTACCAATGGATCATAAAAACCATCATAGGAAAAATGAAATAGAATTACTAATTACCATATAAGCGATTTACCTGTGGGAAAAGATCAAGAGGGTTTGCATTAGGACCACCAGCGAGGGATGCTGGTTGGGCGGCTGGAGCCGGAGCCGGAGCCGGAGCCAAAGCTGGAGCTGGAGAGTTTGTTGCTTGTCCACCTACAGGAGCTTGTGCCACCGGTGGAACTTCAGCTTGCTCAGGAATACCCTGCAATAATTCATTTTCGATAGCTTAAAATGCTGTTATAGAACATAGAATAGGAAATTATTAACATAAACGTGTTTATGCGGTGTTTTTTGGTAGCCATATCCACTTTCTATGGAAATATATCCCTTTGTGTTCTTTCTAGTTTTTTTCTCTGGCGTTGTTATATAGCATATCAGGGTTTACCCTTGTTCTCTTTTATTTTATTATGCAATTTTATATTTATTTATATAACAATGCATCCAGGTGTGTTAATGAGCTTGCATACTCGAAAGTAATCTCTCATGATAGAACACCTAGAAGAAGCGCTAGCTTTTCATGGAACAAAATCGCCATTCAGAAAGAACATGGAACAAAATCCAACGAGTATCAATAAATGAATGAACTGAAAGAGAAATAGAAGCCAACTCACAGAATACAGGTATTCCACAGCTCTCTCTGGGTTGTTAAATGCAGCACGAAGTGCACGAATAACTGTTTCCCGGTCCCAACTTCCTCCACCCATATCGAGGATTTGCTGGATAGTAGTCTCTAAATTACTTCCTGCGACTAGATTCGAAGCTGCTTGAGCATATACGTTTGTTTCTCCTCTGCTTACAAAAAGGAAAGTGAAGATAAAGAGAAAGCTTGTTAAATAAACTTAACATAATCAAGGGTGTAAAAGAAATAGACAGTGGTATTTTATCAAGAAAGGAAGGGTATGATGTGTACTTACGTGGCAGGAGACGGGACCGGAACAGGAACAGAAACAGTATCATGAATAGATTGAAGAGAAGATTCTGAGCTGCATAGTTACACCAAGTTGGTAATTAACTACAAAAAAAGTGAAGTGCAAAAGAAATGAAAATTCCAAGTTATTTAAAAAAAACCATGAAAAATAGATGCTCACGGTGCCACAGTCGGAGCAGGTTGAGAAACTTGTGAAGGCTGGGTCGAAGGAGCCACTGCACTCGCAGGTTGAGCCTGAATGGATGAACCCTTGATCAGCATTTTATATGGTAGCTAGTTAACACTTTAACATAATTCAGTTTTAACTGATCTAGATTAACACCGAGTTAGAATATATATTTGGATGGAAATAATCTAAATACAATAATCCTCCAAGTAGCTCCAATACATATGTCAATTTATGTAATGCATATAGCATGCTAAAATGCCAACCAATTTTTCACATAAGCAGCTTTCCAATTAGGCATTTACTAACAGTACCTAGAATTGAAGAAATCCAACCAAAAGGGTTTAGAGAAACTTCTGCTTAGACATGTACTTTCATGAATAAGCATCAGATATTCTACAACATTTTTGGTGTCAATCTAAGGTGCTGGTTCAACCTTAAAGCCAGCATAGAGAAACAAGAAGCATACACATAATTGAATATAATTTACATCCATTCATGAAACCTATCTTCCTCCCTAACATTCTCTTTAGCCCTAGCCCTAGCCCTAGTTCCTTTTGGATGAAGTAATTGTGTGAGAGGGGAAAGCAATAATCAAACGATATCATAGAAGTTTAGGTATCCGTTTATTGTTCCCATCAATTAGATCGATTTGATCATAACCAGACTGTAATAGAAGTTGAGTATCATAAACAAAAGAAATGAGGATATGTATTTCTTTCATTTTCTCTCAAATCTATGCATCCCTTTGTTATTTAATTTCCCCAAACTGTGAATCCAGATTTTACCAATTGACATTCAATCCAGGTCAGGAGAAAAAGAGAATTAGAATCCATCTCAGTTCAGTTGGGCTATACACTACTGATTGATCCTGATCTACTATGACTGGTTTATCTGTGAAACTTGCACAAAGATTGTGCAGATTTAGTAAAAAACTGTGATCGACCTATTTAAAGCAGTTGATCCAACATCTTGCGTAAATAAAGCCCAGATGGTCTCATTCTCCTTTTTCCTTAAGTAAATAATACTTGGATCTTTTGAGAATTACGCTGAACTGGAACAAGTATGCTTACACGCTAAGAAGAAGTAAATGAACAGGGTGGCCAATCTAGAAAACCAGTGGCATCTACAATCAAGTTCCTTAGGAAATATGTGGCATTCTAAACCGGAAGAATAGATAAATTAGTAAAAATTTGTACTAACCACATTTGCAGGAGCAGCCACGGTGGTTGATGACCCACTTGCTGAACTCTTGCTCTACAATTGACAGAATACATACTAGGTCAGTGGCGAAATTGAATTACTTACACAAGCTGGCAAAAATTTTAACCAAAAAGAATAAATAGCAAAGATAATGAAACTATAACGCTATAATTGACATGAAGCTGTTTCCCATTTTGTAATAGTTATTTATATATCTACTTCCTTCAGAAGGAATATCGGTAATAATCTCCTTGAATCAGGCATCGCTTAGGGAATACGTAACTTAGTCTTACCTTTTCCAACCAGTTCACGTATATAAAATCAACATTGAAACTTGTCTCTTTGTTTAGAAATTGGTTTACGTATAAAACAAACATGTAATATACCATAAATGCCAATAAGTACCTTACTTAACATAATGACGATAAAACTATTTTCAGCAACTTTGTTCTCCTCCAGCGTTGTAGCATCCTTGAGAACTTTTCCTTGATGTATTAGCATTTGTTGTGCAGCTGGATAAACAGCAGGACCCTGTACTTTCTCTATTTCTTTCTTGACATCAGCAACCTGAAAGAAACAATAAATGAAGCCTTAAACCCATGTTTAAAACCACGAGCACAGTACAAGTCAAGGAAAAAGGATCTACTCAGTTGACTTGTCTCATCTCCTTTCTTCGGCAAGCATATGTTCTAAGCTTTATCATGAATTTTAGCAGTAAATTTCTTATTTCTGAGAGTTGGGGCTTTCTTATTTCTTATTTCTTCATCCCTTTTATCTATTTATAGTAAAAGCCCAAAACTACCCTTCTTGTTTCCCTTGATGTGTGTAGTTATTTTGGGACACAATCAATTAATCAAAGCCGCATCGCTAAAGCATGGCAAGGTGTGAATTACCCTTGCTTTCTTTATTCAGGGTTTCTCAGAGTTGGTGTCCTATTTGCTTGGTCTTCAAATTATCCTGTGTTTATGATTGCCTTGGCTTAAAGGTAGAACTTTATGGTTTTCAAGCATTTTCGTAGAGGGTGTGCTAGCAGCTTGTAGTGGTGATGGAAGTCACGGAACTGATGGTGGTTTTTCCCCTTCTGATCTAAGGGTATCATGAATCAATGGATGAAACATACTCTTACTTTAAGTTCCAAAGGGCTTTTTTCTCATTCCAAGCGTGTAGAGAGCATTGCATCTGCAGTTGGTGGAGTTGAGTGAAATTTCATGTGAGAAGCTTGCTAGTCATTTTTTCTTTTCTGATTAAGTTCAGTCTATTGCAGCAGGGTTTGTTGTTCTTTGGAAGTTGGGTGTACCTTTTGATTATCAGGCGTTTGAACTTTGAAGCACACAAAGCTTTATCGTATGCAACATAGTTGTGGCCCAAATCTATTAATATAATAATTGATTTTGCCCTCACAGAAATACGGACTACTACACAAAATGCCACACCTATTACCATATATCACAGATTAGTACACAGTGCCCAACTTAACTAGGAATATAAACCGGTTTCCCAATTGAATGATAATACTCGACAAAGTTTACAACAACTCTTCTCAAGTATTTGAATTGTAAAGACGTAGAGAGAAAAAAATTCATACACCAAACTTTCCAAAAAAGAAGAAAGAATTTGACTTCAATCGAAGGGTTCCCTTTGCAACTTCACAATTGATATGAATTTTGAACCTCTCCTGTTTTATAACAAATGTACTGATTGCATTGAACTTGATCGGATACAGCATTGGTGTTAAATTTGAAAGCACTTGCCATGACATACAAATCTAAGTGTAACTTATTATTCAAATGGATGGATTCAGGAACAGAATTGATATAATCAATCTCAATTATCACATATAATTGGCTACATCCAACAAAATACGAACCCTTAAAAACCCTAGTACCTGCAAGCATTCGTCTATTTAAAAGTCAATCAAAAACTATATTATGCTTCATATAAACACATAATTCGTATGTATGTCTGTATACATACATGTCCTGGATACCTACGTATCTATGCACAAACATATGAACATATACACACACACACATATATATATAGATATACATATACATATACAGATACAGAGAGAGAGAGAGAGAGGCGCACTGTGTCTTGGGGTTTGACTTCGATCTCAAAGTGTGTGCCTTTGAGAGTTTTGACGTTGATCTTCATCGTGGAGTTAATTTCCGATGGGGCAGTTTGCGAGAGTCTCCGATCTCCGGCCACCGGAGGCTTTGCAGCACAGCAGTAAAGAGTGAGAAGGGGAAGCAATATAATGTGTATATATACAAATAGCTTGAGATTCAAGATAACAATAGGTTGACAGCACCGTTCCTGACAGGGGTTTAGCATCCAATCAGTGAGTGACACGTCATTGACTATTAGAAAAGCTGCCATTCATATTTTTTCTTTTCCTAAATCAAAATTCAAAATTTCTATACAAAATCATATCCGACTCCAACACATTTTCATTAAAATATTATATTATTAAAATATTGTTAATAATATATTATATAAATATAATAATATATAATGTTACTAAAATATTATATATATATATAATAAAATATTATTTATTTCTCATAAATATTTAATTTCAATATTTTTTATTGAAAATTTAATAAAGTTTCTCTCTCTCTCTCTCTCTCTCTCTCAATAATCACGTTTGAAAAGTTTTTTTTTATATTTGGAAAATTTCACACTTTGTCATTTGCTCTGATTTTTTTATTAATCTGGATATTCAACTTGTTATGCTAGTCGACTAATCCCAAAGTGATCACCACATTTGAATTTCCGTGGCCATAAGCGGATTTTTATTCCTTCTTGGATTTAAACCTGGAACCTCCTGATACTTTTGACCTTTGGAGCTAAGCTCAAACTAATCAGACACCACCCTTGTGGTTAAAATCTATCGGATAAAATCTCCATTTTCGTCGTTTTGAATAATATATTGGAAATGCTTTAAGATTAAAACATCTCCAACAACTATGTTAAAATAGAAATTTTTATCGTATGATAAAATAGGGAAAAGAAGATAGAGATGGTAGAAATCTCTAAAACTATAAATTTTAGATAGAGAAATAATATTTAATTCTCTCTCACCAATAAGAGATATTGAAATTAAATGTTTGTGAAAGATAAATAATATTTTATTAAATGTATTAAATATTTTAATAATATACTTAAATGGTATAATTGCTAAAATAGGGCACTTGAAGTTAGATGTAATCTTTTGGAGGTTTTAACTTTTGATATTATATTTTAGAAAATCATAAAAATAGTTGTTTGATATACTATAAATAATATATGATAATATTCCCTCTAAAAATATGTATAGTAATATTAGCATAATATATAACTAGAAGGGTACTAGCCAAATGTAACGAGATAAATCTTGATTTTAATTTTTTTTATCTCAGTCGATGTTATAATATGTTTTTATGTGAATTTGAAAAGACGATGATGTTTTTATTTTTGAATAAAATATAAATTTGAAGATATCATAAAAATTTGACAAAATACATTGATATTAGTATCAAATTAACTATTTAATTTTTTTTTTTGTGTGTAATCTTCTAATTCAATTTTTTTTAATTATAATTTCAATTTAAGTTTAATAACGAAATAATTTATATTTGATTTAATAATATATTTTTTTATAAAGATAATAATTAATTATTTTGTTAGAACTCGATAATTATCCTAATTATATTTTAGATTTTTTATATTTTAAAAT